TTGGCAGATCAGAATACCTGAATACATATAATGAGTCTGCAACAGACAAAGTGTCAATGTTAGATGTGACCAGAATAACATTAGTAAATATTGTAATTGGGAATTTAGGAAGTCTTAGAACTAGGCTAAAATATATCTTAATAGATGAAGATGTATGACTAGGATTGATGACATTTGAATCTGGTAAAGAGCTTTTTATACACAGCTTAGCAATGATTAATTTGTATTGAATTATTCATGAGGCTAGACAATGATCTTCAATTACCTCATGTTACACAGCCTGTAAATGCAGACATGATATTCTTGGTTAAACAACCCTAATGGCAAGCAACAAGTGCTGAATTAAACATCTTATTAAAGTCATCGAAAATAGTGGGATAAATATTAGCCGTTGAATATATATTTTCTGTTCAGATAATATGGATATAAATATAAATAGTTTTCTGCTATTTTTGGGATACAGACTAAAGATATGTAAGTTTGAATTCCAGTGAAATCTGTTAAGCGGAACACCTCTAGAAGTGGAACACCTCTGTTAGTGGAACACTTGAGAGTCCCAAGATCAACTGACATAATGTTAAATGGACTTCTAGAAGTGGAACTGCTCCTATGTGGAATCACTTCTAGAGATATCAAAGGTGTTCCACTTTGACATGTCTTACTGTACTAACAATACCTAGTGTATAATATATCAGTTCCTGATAGATCCCTGCTGGTCCCACCAACTTTTCAATGAAGTTCAGAATTGTATTTCAATTATCATGATATATAATATAAAGGCATTTCATACATATGTATTACTGAAATACTGGGAGAACAGTATGACTTCCAGTGGTATGATTTATACCATGTAGTAATAAATCAATTGTTTCAATTATGTCATTTCCCATACAATTAATATAATTTCTTGTTCACACATTCATTTCATTTTCTATTTCCACTTTTGATCATGAATAATTATTCTGTTTGCAAGGTTATCGTAAACAATTTCAGATGGTTTATCTTGGATAATGACTATTTTCTGATCATGAAGACAGGCATATATTTTAGATTCATTCAATATCTGAAAAAGAATATACAATAATTTAGTCATTTGGACTCAGTGATATTGAGGGGGGGGGGTGTATAGAGGGTCTTGGAAATGCATATACAATATTTTTCAGCTCTCTTATACCATATACAATATTTTTTCACCCCTTTTATACCATATACAATATTTTTCACAGCTCTTATACCATATACGATATTTTAGGTGAAATACAATATACGATAATTTTGAAACTGCTTTTGATTACAGTTTGGATATTTTAAAGGAAATAATATAAGGAGAGAATCCATGTACTAAAGTAAATGTATTATTATAAGGGAAATAGACTCCACATACATACCACAATGATTTCATTTATTACATTATGAATAAGACACAATTCGGGTACATCCGCATGTTCAGAAAAGCTGTGACCACATTTTATTTTCAGGTAAACAAGTTGATTTAAAACACATTTATGATATAAGATTCATGACTTATCTTTAGTGATTTCACAACCTACTTTGACCAAAAAACTAACTTTAACATTTCTGCAATTTGCTAAAGCCATTAGCCCATTACCTGTAAAAGTACCATAAAGATATTCACAATTAGCACAAAACCTGCATCATTGGAATAGGTGGAACTCAGTGTTCCTCTTTCTTATGACCTACTTTCCCATGACATATTTTAATGTCAATGGAATCCTTCATAGTGAACCAGGGAAAAAAATCCTTGAAACATAATTGATGCAAAATTGAAAATGTGGAATAAAAGATTCATCATGTGTTCTATGAAAATAAAGTTTGCTGAGGAAAATATGTATCAGATAGGTAATGAAGATTCACAATGCACAATAATTTTGTAAAGCAGTTACCTGAAAATATTAAGTATTGAAAACAGTTTCAGAAATAAAGGACTTCACAAACTTCCATGTAGATAATTCATTTTTGATTGGACTCGAGTCTGGAAATTAGAGTTTGAAATAAAGGCAAGACGAGACTTGATTGTTTAAACATTTGAAACAAGAGACACTTCGGGGTTTCAGATAAGGTAGCCTTAAAGACAGTATAAGTTAAACAAAGGTGTGTCAAAATAAAGCAAATTTCCATAAAGTTCAAACCACATGTTTCACGAATGATTTCAAGTCAAAGATGTTTTGATGAGAATGAAAACTACTCTATGCAACTAGAAATAACTTTCTTTTAAAGGACCACAGACGGTATGAGTTTTCCCTATTGGAAAATAACATGGGAAATACATGTACTGTTTTCCACTTTATCCCAAATAAATCATATTTTAGAGGTTAACTGTGTCTCAAAATGCTGGCCTAACATATGCACCTGTTCAAATCCCCAATAAATAGCCGAAATCCAACATATGACAGTTTGAAGACCAAATAAAAACCTTTTGCTATATTATGCTATATTAGCATTGTGATGCTTGTATTAAAACATGCGCTGTATGAACACTTTATACTCAAATATTTTAATGATTTATCCCACATACCCCGAAACACGAGTAGCCATAGTGACCATATTTTTCATCAAAGTTAAGATGAGTCAACGTCGCCAACGTGCAAATGCCAATGTTTTTGCTATAAATCAAGCAACAATGGTCTGTACGACCTGTAATAAATATACTGTACTCTGGGTAATGTTCGCTTTGTTCGCGAATGTAGTAAAATCGCGAACATTTATCGTCGCGAAATCTGTCTTAAATCCCCTGGGATTTGACCCGGGCCTTTTGATATGTTTCGTTCGGTGTGAAACGTTTCTTCCAGTGTTGTTGGGCGAAGGCCTAAAAACATTTTGAATTGGCTTATTAGGCCAACAGAGGCAAGAACTGTTGACGATAATGATATCCTACAAATTGAAGTTGAAAAAGCCATTCAAGAATATTCAAATAAATTCCCTAAACGTGGGAAATACAAACATTATTCGGATTCTGAATGGGCTAAAATAGCCAGATACGCATCAATGATTCATGGTAATCGGAAAAAAATTCAACTTGTGCAATCTGCTAAGTGTCATCAACTCAAATCCGCGAAATTAAATAGCCGCGAAATCGCAATTTTGAAAAATCGCGAAATTTTATAGCGTCGAAATTTACCCAGAGTACAGTATAAGCAACATTTTTATCACAAAATTCTTTGCCGGTTTTTTAAAATAATTTTCCAAATGATAGATAAAAAATAATCGAATGTTTGAATGGAGGGGGGGGGGTGAATGGAGGGGGGGGTGGAGTTATATGTCTTTAAGGTGGAAGAAATTTCCACAAATTCGTGTACTTGAAAAATGAACTCACTTACTCAGTAACTTGATGTTACAACTCTGAAAAGTGAAAAATGGGGACATATGGAGTTAATCGAAGTTTTCATATGTCTTATAGACACATTACTCCCCCCTCCGTTCAATTTTAATAACGTTCGAATACTTTTTAAATAACGTATGGTAACGTGTTTTACAAAACCAATGATGACAATAGTTTTGTGATAATTACTTCACTTACAAGTATTTATTACAGGTCGTGTAGACCCTTGTTGGTTGATTTATAGCAAAAAATTGGCGTTTGCACGTTGTTGACGCTGCACTTTTTTAATAGATCTTTTATTTTAGAACTCCACAGTTCAAAAAAATCCAAGAAGACCTAACATATTCCCCCGTCCACTGCATCTATTCATTTAGCCATTCAATTGTAAACTTTCTCTTGAAAAAGTAAATCTTCAAGATTTGTTGAATGTTCTACCAAAAATCAGCTAGATCTATACCCCCCCCCTCCGGTCATTTCTTCTGAGCATCCGGCGTGATTCTTATTTGAGACTATATTTAACACCTCCTGTGAGAATTTGAATGAAAAGGGCACAAAACTCTTAGTTTGAGAAGGATTTTTTCTAAACTTACAGTATTGATTGACCTGGAATGTGGAACCAATTAGAGAGACTACTTTTCCATGTTTTTCCAACACGGTTACAGTAAGAGACTTGGCACAATGGGGAACTTTAGGGTGCACTTTCTTCATAATTAGCCTTTTTTAATTCTAGATACCATACTGTATAAGTGGTATTTAATCCGAGTGGTTAATTTTCCGAATGGTCAAATTTCATCATTTTCCTAATTTTAATTTTCCTAATTACAAGAAACCTCCCATTGGATAACATTATAAAGACAATATTTCCGACATTTAATTTTCCGAACCTGGCAAAAATTAGGAAATAGGCAAATTAAATGATTAGGCAAAATTACCACTTATACAGTATACCATATATTTTCTATTATACCATATACCATATTTTTTACACCTCTTATACCATATACGATAAATTTTGCCCCCTCTTATACAATATACAATAAATTTTCAGCCTCTTATACGATATACAATATCTCTATACACCCCCCCCCCCTATTGAGGGTGCAATCCACCCATCAACATACTTTTTCAACGATGTTTAGCTCATTTACACCAAAAAGGCAATCTTTCTGGTCGCACATTAAGTCCTTTTGTTCTTTCTGTTCACACTGGGTATAAGGGAAAGGTAGCATTCATGGCAAATTCAATTTCAGTTTATTTTTCAATTCAATTGGGCAGAAAATTAATTGAAATATTATTTTAGGTTCTCTTTTCAATTATTAGATTTCAATTCTCTAAAAGAGAGCATGAGTAATTGCAATTTACAAGTTATTTGATACTTATTATTTACCTCAGACGTTTTATAGTCATGATCACTGTACTGGTTTAATTAGTTGGATCTACCACCAGATGATGCCTTGATCGTGTCATCCGATATATGGTTTTAATCATGAACACATTTAGATAAAATACAATTAACATCTCCACTTCAAGTTCAGCTGCATTCTTCAAGATCGGTCCTTCACTGCTTTCATGGCAGATCATGTAATGCAATGAATTACTCTTGGGCCAAGGATGTTCAAGTTAAAAGTCTTTAAGATTTTGTATATTTATATATTTCCAGGTATCGATTATCTCATTGACTGAGAGCAAGGTCCACCCAATGGCAACCCCTCAGAATGGTGCTGTCAGGGTGGAGAAACGGGGGTCTCGCTCATCTAGCTGTTTGGGAGACTCAGATCACATGATATGCGACAGTATAGTCACATGTAAGAGCACAGAAAACATAGAGGATAGAAGAGGCAGTCGAGGCTCATTGATTAATAAACCACCCCCAGAGGCAAATGTCGAAGTGAAATTAAAAAAGGAGGAAGTTCGATTGGATTTTTCTAATCTCAATGAACTTCCAACCCCTGTAAAAGATAGTAAATCTAAAGTGCAATATGACCCCACTAACCAAAGTGCATCGATAAAGAAACTGGAGCACCCGGCTGATAAAAGCCTAATGCTTTCATTCCTAGTTAGTATTGTATTCCTCCTAGTTGCTCTTGTATTATTTGGACCAGCTTTTGCAATATTCTTGACACTCGTACCTCTAGGGGCTTTAATCAAATCAACCTGCAGCTGTTGCTGTGTTCCCCAGAGACAACAGGGCTGTTGCCCCACTTTACTTACCCATAATGAAACATATTGGCTTCATGATTCGCATTTTAATAAAATGGTTGTACAGTGTCTGATAACATTAGATTATGGCTTGACTCCACACAGGATACAGGACATGATAAATGCACGACTTGTTTGTGCCGAAAACCGCTCAGGACAAAGATTGTACCCAAGATTTAGCCAAAAAGTTGTCGAGCTAAACTGCCGATACGCTTGGCTAAATGATGAGAATTTTAACATTGAGAATCATATAGTGGTCATGCCAAAGAGCATAAATAGCCAGAGGGCACTGGAGTCTTATACTGCTGAGCTGGCCAATCAGACGCTACCTAGAGATCGCCCGTTATGGAATATACATATCCTACCAAGATATCTTGAGGATACATGCGTCGTGCTTTTCAGAGTTCATCCATGTCTCACTGATGGAATCTCATTAGTTAGAACATTCTTTAAGTCTGTTGTGGACAACCACACAGGATGTAATCTCAAACCACGCTTTAGTCAAAGTGCCTATGTATTTAATGTCATACGTGCAATTGTGGTTGGACCATTAGTATTCATACAAAAATGGCTTTTAACGCGTAAAGATTATAATATACTTCATGGACCCCCATTATCAGGTAAAAAGGTAGTCGCATGGTCAGAACCATATAGCCTTGCGAAAGCTACCCGTATTAAACAAGTAACTCGTAGCACTCTTAATGACGTATTGATGTCCGTGGCTGCTGGAAATCTGCGGACATATTTTCAAACCGTTGGTGTTATAAACCCCTACGATATGCTTGCAACGTTCCCCATTGATATCAGGTCAGAGACTATACACATTAAAATGGGTAGCAAATATGCTATGGGGGACATTGCAGTTCCCACAAACACTGAAGGTGCGATCCCGCGCCTATGGGAGCTCAAACACCGAATGGATGAGATTAAAAACTCATGTGATCCCATAGTCATGCATGGTGCCATGTCAGTGCTTATGTCCCTATTGCCCGAATGGATATGCCAAAAAATCTGGCGGACTATATTAAACAAGAGTACATGCCTAGTAACAAACCTCCAGGGTCCAGATAGCATCTTGACATTTGCATCTCGGGAAATTAAGAGTATTATCTATTGGATGCCCCCCAGGGATGAAGTGGCAGTCTCCATCTCTATGTTCACTTATGGGGATGAGGTTAGAATGGCTGTGATAGCAGATAAGGCAATCATGCCAGATCCTGAGATCATAACTAAAGACTTTAATGTAGAGGTAAGTGCCAAAGAAAACCTTCGTAAAGGTTTAACCAGGTGTTTCATTACAATTTCTGACAACAGGCAAAATTATTAGAAATTATAATTTTAACATTGAAACAATTGAGATAGTAAGTAAGTAAGTAAGTATTTGTTTATTTCAGTGTCTCGTGCACAATTTCACATACATATATAATCAATACAAACGAGCGTGCACCCAGCCTTCAAAGGCTTATGGGACACTTTAGATAATCATTATACATAATCATTTCTAATGTGGAAAATATTTGATATGTAGTTCGATGTAATTGATGCAATTTTCGGATTATTAAGGATTATCTTCAAATTGTTAATACTAGTGTCTGTAAAATCAAAATCAGGGATATGGTGTTTAACTTTGGTAAAAAATGATCGTCTTTCATTATTATATATTTCGCATTTTAGCATGAAATGTAGCTCAGATTCTATATCTTGACATTTACAGGCTTGACAGTATCTTTCCTCAAGAGGAATTCCCCGATAACGTCCTGTTTCTATCCGTATAGGAAATGTGCCCGACCTCAGTTTAGCCATCAATGATCTTTGATACCTAGTCAGTTTCATTTTCACATAATCAGTACATCCATAGTCTTGTTTTAGTATACAATATGTTCTTAGCTTAGGCATAGTGATTATATCTTGTTTCCACTGCGTCTTAAATTTAGAAAGTTCACTATTCCTCACATTGTCTAAAATCGGTCGCACCCTTGTTTGAGGGATAAATCGTGTCTCGTAAACATAGCGAAGATCAGCGTCCTCTAAGATGTGCTTGACTTCACTGCACCATGTTCCATTAACGTCATGTTCGTAGTCCCAGTCAAATATTCGCCTTGTTAAACGCGTAACTGGCATTCTACATAGTCGTATAAAAAGCCGGACCATCTCAACGTGGTGGCGAACGCTCGGTGGGGTCCACGCCATTTCCCCGTATAAAGCTGGAATTGCAGTATATTTTCCAACTCCTAAAAAGGTTCGCATAGCTCGGTGCTGTACGATCTGGCATTTATTGTATTGTTTATTTCCCCATACAGCAGAGCCATAGTCCATTACAGAAGATACACAGCTATCATACATTTTAGTGAACGTATTATAATGTAATCCATCTATGTTGAAATATTTGGCAATAATAGACCCAAGGGAGCGGCTACTTGCATCAGCCAAAGTCGTGGCGGTCACGGTATAGTCAAGAGACTCAGTAACTATTAATCCAAGATAACGATATGTTTCTACCATATTTAAGCTAGAAGGACCGAGCTTGAACTCAAACTCTGTGCGTGGTTTTGTAGTTTTCCTGACGTGAATCACTTGAGTTTTATCACAGTTTACAGTAAGTCTCCATTGTGTTGTCCAATTATACAGGGTGTCTAACATTAATTGCAAATCATTCGCTGTCGGTGCAATAAAAACAATATCGTCTGCATACATCAACACACTGATGTTTTCATTACCCACAATAACTCCTAGATTAAGGGCATTAATTTCTGCTTCAAGGTCATTCACATAAAGGCAAAATAGGGTCGGAGAAATTATATCTCCCTGTCTCACTCCTAATTCCGCAGTAAACCAATCCGTGAAGTGACCATTTAATTTGACACAATATGATACTGTACTATAGACTGATCGGATGGCCTTATACATGCGTCCACAAACACCACTTTGAAGAAGTTTATACCACATGCCATCATGATTAATACTGTCGAATGCCCGGGAAAAATCGACGAAACATATATAGGTGTCGCTTCTAGCTTTCAGTCTTTGTCGCAATATGGTTGTTAACGCATATATGTGATCCAAACACGAACGGAGTTTTCTAAATCCATTTTGCGAATCACATAGTATATTGTTGAAATCTAGAAATGATTTCAGGCGATTATTTAATACTGCGCTGTAGATTTTGCAAACTGTGGACATAAGGCTTATTCCTCGGTAGTTAAGCGGAACTCTTGAGTCCTTATTTCCTTTAGGTATCGGTGAAATAATTGCCCGTCTCCATATCGTAGGCACTATTCCAAATTTGAAACAGGCATTTAACAAAGTATGGATTGGAGTCAACAGTCGATCACATTTTAACACTTCATTTGGTAAATTTTCCTCACCAACGGCTTTACCTTTTTTCAAATTAACCATCACCTTTTTCACTTCACTTAACTCGATTTCATTGTTTAGAAAGACATTATTGGGAAGGGGCGTGTCAGCAGGTTCCGAATCAACATTTTCAACACTACTCATATCATTAAGTTCACGTTCGCATTGCTCAGTGAGCCGCTGTATATCATTAAGAAAATCATCATTGAATAAACCATTGTTCTCACAGAATATACTTTGAAAATCATTTTTCCATTTATTCAGCACTACATCTATATCACCGCTTATATTATCACCATCAACGTACACTTCCATAGGGATGTTACTACGAGCGCGTGAAGGTCCGAGATTGTTTATTTCATTCCACATTTGCTTAGGATTATTCGTCTCCATTTTAACAATATTGTCTCTTAATTTTGCTTCACAAGAACGTTTAGATCGCCTATACATTTTATCAAATTCACGTTGCTTTAATTTAAAGTCTTGCCTTAAAATATTTCTCTCTCTAGCCCTCGATTTTGATTTCAAAAATAATTTTTCCATTTGACAGGTTTCTTTCCATAATTTGTTCAATTCCACGCTCCACCATGGTTTTGCGCGTTTATTTGTCTTTGTATTGTTCGTACTTATGTCTTTAAATGTTAGTTTGTCATCCATTTCAGTGTGCAAAATATTTACAAATTGGTCATAGCTATCATCAATAGTACGTTGTGCGTCATGATTGAGCTCAAGACGTTCGATCGCAGACAAAATCGATATGCCTCAACATATCAAGAGATTTTAGGTAGAACATCCTGTTCCTGAATCCCTGTATATGACTGAATACATTGCTTATAGTATACTATCGTATGGTACACCCTTGAAATATTGTAAAGTTGAATATGTTGTATTGTTGTATCTCAAATTTTACATTATTATTGTATACTTTATTTGATTCAAAATTGCTGCCAATCTTTCATATAAAGCCACAGCTACCACTAATCTTACAGTATATGGCATCCTTTCCGGTAACTACCATATATGGAATCATTTCTGACGTTCATTTCTACACAATTATAACTCTTAATCATTCAGAGGGATCTGCATTTTGATATGAAATAATATTTTTGTGAACATTAAAACATTTTATATGAATCTTGTATTAAAAAATGAAGTTTTTTTTATTTTTATCTTTAATCGTATCACATGCCAAACGAGTGTTTCAATATTTTAGAACTCATGAAGCTGATAGCTTTTGATAGTCAAGTCTGTTTGTGAGTAATCGATAGAAAGAAAACCTGTAACAACAAATATACCCTGGGATTCTTAATGAGATGAACAAAGGGACAAGCAAAGTAAATGTGCAATGAATGATCAATATATTCTATTTAAAATGTGAAGGCAAAAAACATGAACATGTACAGTGGTATTTCAAAAATTTCCCAATTTGTTAAAAACAACTTGAGAAAAAAGTCTATTGTATGCTACTAATGAAAACTGTCCAGCTCTTTAAATTGGAGGTGATTCTTTTATTTTGCTTATTAAACAATACATGTATATCCGATATTCATCAGAATTTTATATTCAATTCATGTACTGAATACAAGTAGATTACCATACGTTCATTTCAAATTATCTCCTTTAGAAGGGACATTTGAGATCATTAAGATGTTAAGTTATCAGAATCAATATAAAAAGTAAAATCATCTATAATGGTCAGAAGTTAGTGTTGTTTGATCCGATAAGGGTTCAGAGCCTGACGTTACAATGAATGATTTTAGCCCTTTTCTTTAAATCAAGATCAACCAGCTATCATTCACAGAAAATCTATGTGTTGTTAATGGGATAGGGGGGAGGGGGTAGGGGGTAGGGACTTGAAGCAAGATTAGTTTTCAATGTCTCTGGAAGAAAACACCTGTACTATTGAAAGGAAATTCTTCATTAATAAGGAATCTCATAATGGCAGATCTCCAATAGAACACATTCCTGGTTAAGATTGATTTTTCTGTATTTTGAATCATACCTTGGGTGCTATATTGTGATCCGTTAGTGGGTGGACAGCAACAGGTGTTCCCAGTTCTTGTCTGCTGGTTTCCACATAATGGATGGGATTTTTCAGGGATCTTTGTATAAAGATTTGGAACTGATTTTTTGGGCGTGTCAGATTTTAAATGTCCCATATTTGGATTTTTATCTTAAAAGTATGCCTATATGTGGTAGGAATGAAAGATGAAGTTAATAGTCCCTTATGGTTTGCCCCCCTCCACTCATAGTATAAAGAAGTTTTAAAAAGCTAATTTATGACTCTGTTTCTTGTAATTGCTTCAATGTGATCAATTCTGTCAGTCCTTGTTGTTTTCAAACAAGACAGTCCCCAATAATTGAAACTTGTAATCAATCTTATAAAAATTCTGATTCTCCCTTTGGGACACGATGCAACAAAACCCTGGAACCTTTGGCTGTTTAAACCTTCATATAAAATAATTTCTACATGATAGTTTCACTTTGGGCTTCAAAAATCTGTTCAATTTTGCCTTTTCAGTGCTTTAATTTAGGTTTTCATCTCAATTTGATAAAACAGAACTTAAACTGTCAGTGTTCAGTTGCAAATCTGCATGATGGTGATCAAGCATTTCCCTTGTGAACTTGCTTCCTCTTGAACTTGTTATTAAGCAGATTATTCCTGAAATAAGATAATCAATATTCACTTCAGTCTTTGTTTTCATATGTTTGTTTATTTTGGGACAGATGGCGCAATTGCCAGTACGCAAAAGCTATATGTACATGTATATCAAACTGCAAAAATTAATAGGATTTTGATGTTGGTGCAGAGTCACTTTTATTTGCTAATTTTTCCAGGCCCCATTTTATTTCAATGGGAGTTTTTATGCATTAAATTTGAATCATACTTTTTAAAGTATATATTTTATTTACATCAGATTTCCGTATAAAACCTTTATTTAAGTTGAAAATGTTAGAGGGCAACTTGCACTGATGGCTTTGTCTACGTTACTGCTTTATAGCAGTCTTTGATTCATCGATGGCTAAAAAGGAAGTCATTTTCAATTGTAATCCATCAAATGAATATCTTTGATTATTTTAACAAAATGTTTTCAATCTTCTTTTCATCAGCACAATCAGTTGCAGTGTAAATTAATATAATCATCATGTGTTAGTGATAAATTTATTAAAAACTACATGCAGTATGACAGAATATATGTAACGAAAATCCCAAAATGACAAAATAAATTGAAAAATATAAATGACAAAACTTAATGAGAAATCCTGGATTGAATTTGTATTGGGGTGAGAGTTCATACTATCCAATTATAGACCTTTCCAAAGGTCGATGGTTAAAACTCCTGACCAATCAAAACTGAGTATTAAGATTGATGTGCATATAAATCTAAATTATGTTCAAATGCCAAATGCCTATCATTACAAGTTATTCATTTTGAGAAAAATTGAGCTGGAAATAAATGACCAGAGTCTACTAAGGGGCCAGGTCAATATATCAGTTCTTTCAAAAAAGTATTTTGTTGAGGGATAGCAGTGTACAGTATAAAGCCTGTCTTTGATAAAGTAAAAAGAACAAAATTGACATTGATAGCATGAAAGCTTTTATATAATATTATTAACAGATTTATCATCTTTGTTGTAAGGAAAACTACCTATAACCTCAAATATTTTTTATTCTGTTATATCTTATGCGCTCCATTTGTTTGCACCCCAATGTTTGGGCCTATTCTAATGCCATATTTAGGTCAGTATTCATTTGTCTGTCTGTACAGGCAATAACTTTAAAACCGGTTGACAGATTTGATATACATTTTACAGGCTGATGTCTTAGTCGTTATGGAACCACTGCACAAGAAGATAACTCAAGTATATCTGCCATTTTGTCATGTAATTTGCCATGTGATTTTTTTATGATGAGTTAATTTGATAAAATATGTTTTTTGTTGGCTACTCCATTTTCTAAATTAACTTCTTGACTACCAAGAGTGACGAGATTTCCATTCGCCTCAGAAATGACCTTGAAACCCATCATAAAATTTTTCACTAAAATTGCTCTCATTTGAACAATTTTTATCCAATTTACACAAAAACTTATTTCAAATGTCTAGAAATTATCTTCGCTGTCTAATTTTACTAAAATGAGCATCATCTGTTGAATATTTATGTACTGAAATGTCAGAAGCTGGCAAAAATGAAAAATTCTCTGGTTTCAACCGATTTTAGAACCTGGGATCCAAGAGGTTAAAATATTATTTTTAGAATGGTATTAAAACACTGAAAACATGTTCAAGTTTTTTAAAACCACACTGAAACCCTGAAAATGTTTAGCAATAAGTAAATTGGCAGTTTATGCATTACAAATAGAGAACATATTTGTGTGAACAACTCCTTTTAATTACTGGATGCCCCATTTGGAATACCTCTGGGGAACAAGCAAGACTCCGTTAACTGAATGTAAATGGACTTCTGAAGGTGTAACAACTCCCAATTGGAGCACTTTAAAAAGGTTAACTCACTCTTAGCTTCTACAGATCAGCCTTCACTGTGTTATGTTAGGCAGGGGGATTGAAGGATTTGAAGAGCAAGACTACTTAGTAAAGTTTGTGAACACCTCTTTAATACCTGTGTAAGTGAAACACCTCCACAAGAAGAACACTTTATAAAGATTTACTCACTCTTCGCTTCTACAGATCAGCCTTCACTGTGTTATGTTAGGCAGGGGGATTGAAGGATTTGAAGAGCAAGACTACTTAGTAAAGTTTGTGAAGAAGAACACCTCTGTAAGTGAAACACCTCCACAAGTGAAAAACTACAACGATCAGTTACCCACTGTCCTATAAAATGAACTTTGTGGAACACTTTTTTGAGGCACTTCTACTGTACTTATACAAAAAGTTGATTTTTTGACCTGGTCCCTAATGGCAGATATACAGCAAGACAGATTGATTTATTACTATAGGAAAACTGCCTTCCTCCAGTACCACTATGTAGCTACAAATTGATCTGTCTTCTTAAGTGTTTTATTGATTTCTGGTGGTTGGTATATAAGGTTGGTTTATGTCTCTCCAAAGACTCATCTCTGTGTCTCCATATTTTATGCCTGATGTGCTTAATAAAATTTAGATGCAAAATGTTCAATAATTTTGCTTTCAAGCAATTACAGTAAAACCTTTATATCAGGACACCTCTTAATGTAAAACTTAGAGCCTGAGCACTTTTGGACGGTCCCAGTGGCATTTTGATGAAACAGTTTTTTTAATATCATAAGTCATAGGGACTATAAAAGGAGAGCTCCATGTCTAAGTGGACACTAGGAGTGACTGAATATTCAATGTAGAATTTGCCCACTGTCAGCCGAAAACACAAAATCAGTGATTTTTTCATGGTTGATTGAGATCTAAAGAATAGAATGAATCGTAGACAGAGTTCCCAGAAAAATATAAAAATTGTTTTCGACATTAATATGTCTTGCTAGATTAAACTAATAAGTTATCATCTCCCCAGGCATGATCGCTGTAAACGGAGCACTTCAGTGCCTGATTGAAATGCATGAAAGTGCTTCTTTAATTCTGAACAGTTTTGTTTACTACAACTGATGAAATATACTAGGTAGCCAACCAAATCAATTTTCTTTTTACGCCATACAAAATTGATTTTGGGTTGCTAAGTATATTTTATCTGCTTCTAATTTATCCCATTTACGGTTCATCCTGCTGGTCAACAGAGCCAATTCGATTTATTAGATTGGAAATTGTATTTATTGTAGTAGTCTTCAAAATGCCTAAAGCCAAGTGGTTTGTGCTCAACAACATTCTCTTCTTTGGCAATGAACTATAGTAGTTCTGGTGTTAATGACAAACTGTAAATGCAAAAGATGTTACCTGGATGAATCAGGTGTATACAATACAATTATACATGTATGTTTTGTGGGTTAGTTTTTGCTGGCGTAAATGGGTAGATGTTAAGGTGGCCATTTTGGATTTTTCATCGTAAAATTGAGGCGTGTCTAAATATTTCAAGTGTGCTATATATTGTTCACCATGTGTCTTGTTTCTACAACTATTGACGATTAGACATCATTCTTTATTGTCATGGTTTCAACAATGTCAAACGTTAAGTATCCATGTCCTGCTTATGTCTAGAGCAGTTTATTGTTTGATTTTGGCATGGCTGCTATCCCTTAATAGTAAGTGTTCAATCCACTTAGGTCTCTTACATGCTGAATTCACAATTTCAGAATTTCTCCATAGGATGTCTCATTTGTTAAATGATTCATTTGTGGCATGTGAAATTCATGAATTGGACCATAAGGGAAAATGATTCAATTGGGATCATTTTGGTATCATTTTTACATTGCTCATCTGATCTTTCTGATTTTTGCAGCTTGACAAACTGGCGATGTTATTAGCTAATCGCCGTATTCCTGGGGAACATATGAGTCGTCGGATTGAGATGTCTAATGAGGATGCTGACAATCTAAATGATCCATCAATGGAAGAGGTAAATATTAATTCTCCCAGAGCAAAGGCGTCTTTCAGCCTTACCTCTGCTGCTAGTAAATCAAAATCAATATTGTTTTTTGAAGAAAAAGGTTCTGCATATGATATTTATCATCAAAAGTTAAAGTTCTGTATCTAATATTTATCATCAAAAGTAAAATAATAATCTCCGGCAATATCAAATCTCTGTGGTTAATTTAGTCATAACTTAGGGGTAATGTGTTGAAATACTAGACAGTAGAATTCATAACATACATAATGACATAGTGCAATTTAAAATTGCTATTCACAAAGAGGTAATATGAATAGGCAAGTTGTCTCAAATTAGAGATATGTACTGCTTGTTCAAATTGATGCATTTCTTGGTTTTTGTGAATAATATGTAGCTTAGTACTAATATAGCTGTGGTAACAGTTATGGCTGCTTTGATTTGGCTCCAGCCAACTATTATCATATTCTGTAGTTGTTATCATTTTGTGAGGTTCATTGATCAAAATTTTCCCAGTGTAGGAATATTTATAACATTAATACATTTTAACAACTATTTTTGTGGCTTGGTGTCAAAAGCCCTCTATCAAGTGCAAAATTAGTAAAAACTACTGTATGTCCATTTCACACTGAACAGAAAACTTGAATTTTGCTCTCGTGTCAATCAAAACTGAAACTTCTATTGTCAATATCGAGGTGAGTGATTTCTTTCAGGCTCTGGTATTTTTACAAAAGTAAGTTGGCGTCATAATCATTCTTCAGGGCAGGTTTGAGGCACTAACGGTTTCTTATGAAAAAATTTAATTTCTCTATGGATTAAAGAAGTGGCCTTGCTCCCTTATATGTCTCCAAGTCAATGATCTATTGTTATCCTGGCATCTGAGCTAAAACTCATTCAAGTGCCTGGAAATGCCCTGGATTGCTATATTAAGATTCAATGTGTCTCTCTTTACAATCATAAAATCAGGATAATGTACAAATATATCTTCATTTTTCAAGAAATTTGATTTTCGTTGGCTTCAATTTATGAGATGACTAAGGCTCAATGTAATGTGAAATACAATATGTGTGTTGAAAAATTCCATTAAATTAAATGTAAAACATTGTTAGCTGTTAGGAATGATATGATATATGATATGATGCAAATATTAGGATGTATAAATAAGGGTTATGTACTGGGAGGTTTTGGATATGGGGTTTATCCCTTGTGAGATATGCATATCTACCTGAGGGAGCGTAGGGACCGAAGATACCAACTTATCAAGATACCAACTTATCTCCCTAAAACTCTACTTGCCATAGCATAAAGGATGATACACTTTACATATTCCAAAGAGGACACATGATGTTAATACAGCAGGAGATCCAAGACATCATTTCATCTATGAATAATGTCAAGATCGAATTGATGGTGATGGTTAATGAGTTTGTATTTAATCAATCTCAGCCGTGAAATTGACATTTCGAGCAAAGCTTTGAAAACATACCATGCCAGTACAATGAATCAGGGTGACATTGACATTAGAGATATCAATAATAATATTAACAGATTTACAACTATGGTACATTCTGATTTATCAGGGTCCCTCATTACCTAAAGCTTTTTTAGATAGTAGAGGTTGTGTAACCTCCGGTGATTTCATTTAGGTTGCATTAAGTGGTTCATTACAATCTTCGTTATGGTGTTAACAAAGATAAAGTGTTTAATTTATCACTGTATAGTGGAATATTTGATGATTAAAAATCAACCTTTATTTGAAAAATGATGTGAAATCAAAAAAAAATCAAAAATCTCTAGAATAAATTTTAAAAATTCAGGAAAAATAGTACTGGTATATGAATGATAAAAACATTATTTTTCAAACTTTACGGGGGGCATTTTAACAGGCATTTAATGCCAGATATTATCTGTTGTTAGCATCACAGCTGTCACAACCCATAACTTGTCACAACCCATAAACTGTCACACTCACAATTGGCATTTATAGCATGTCACAACCACAAATCAGCCAAATAAAACACCTCAGTTCTGAACAAAGGGCAGCGCCAGACTAATTGATTGATCAAAACTTACATACCTGTACTAAATCAGATTTATTTTCAATCATTTATCATTTTCTTATGAATAAAACAATATGATGTCAACATAGCTTGATTTGTGTGTTTAAGATTTGACATTGTACAGTACCTTCCGATTCTAGATTCAGGGTAAAATTGCCGAAGTCCAGTGCCAACTTCAGGATTTGAAAGCGAGGCTTGATCAGGAGGTCGCATCTAAATACAGTGAGGAAGAGGAGCTATTGGTCAACAAAGTTGAGAGTCTAAAAGGGGAATTTCGAGAACTTATCTCTGAATTGCGACGTAAGAAATCTGGAGATGGTCCCCTAATGTCTGATGAGGTGCGCTGTTCTTTTTTATTTATTTATTTTTTCATTATTGTTTTTCAAACTATATTATGACTGCATGTATCAACATTCATTTTACTCTTGAGTTTTTTATAGATAAAACGAGAGGCTGAAAAGAGTTCTGCCAACATAAAAGAATGTTGTCTTTAGCCATATTTAAAGCATTTTTGGGTGTTTTACTTTTTATTCTGTGATTAATTAAGCAATAGAAGAAAAAACATGTAGAGCAGTGTTGCTTAGCACATATAACATATTTTTTCTTCTTTTTTAAAGGATGATGAGTGTGACGGAGAGTTGCGTCGTACATCTTTCCGTAAGCGGTCTATGTCTAGTGCATCACGCCGTTCTACATCCTCAATCACTGCCACTCGAGTCCAAACCCACCAACACTCCCCACCCCCCTCACGAACCAACACCCCCTCCTCACCCACAGCAAAGGTAAGACACATCTCTGAAGCCACCTCATTGATATTTGAATTCTCTATTAATGTGTTTTTCTTCATCATTTATTCTAATAACTTCAGGAATGACTTAACTTTCTTACTTATCTTCTTTGGTCTCGGATCTTGGATTTTGATAATTGTTCTTTCACAGTGTTTACACTGTGCAGAAAGGGATCACTGACACCATTTTTGTGCATTAGATGATACGTGGGGGTTTGTGCTTCTTATAATGTAATTTTTCTGTCTGTGATTTTTATACTTTTTCAGGTTTTTTATATTGTTGTGGTGACATATTGTTATAGTGTCACAATTTTTGGTCAATTGGGTCAATAGTCGGATCAGTGATCAGCATCTGTAACAAATTGTTACAATTTTGTAATAACTATTTGCAAAGTATTACAAGGTAGTAGCATTTTATCATGCCCATTAACGCAAAGTAAAAATACTGTACCTAGTGACCAAAGGCAGTGTTATAGTGTCAAGTGATTTACATGATCAGGATAATCATTTAAAAAAGATATATTATTATATTGTTTGGCCATGCTTATATTTTCATGCTTTCCCTCCCAACTTCTCCAACTTTCCAACAACTCTGTATTATCCATTACACAGTGTGCTATATATTATTATATACTTTCAAGAGAGTCCACAATATTATACCACAGAATCAACCTTCATTCATTGTATGGTACATCCCTTCATCAGATATAGCATCCCCAGGGTCATTCTCATTTATTCTAGAGTTGTCAACCCTCATTCTCTGTATGGTACATCCTTTTTTTTAGATATAACATCCCCAGGGTCATTCTCATTTATTCTTGAGTTGTCAACCCTCATTCTCTGTATGGCACATCCCTTTTTTAGATATAACATCCCCAGGGTCATTCTCATTTATTCTAGAGTTGTCAACCCTCATTCTCTGTATGGTACATCCCTTTTTTAGATATAACATCCCCAGGGTCATTCTCATTTATTCTAGAGTTGTCAACCCTCATTCTCTGTATGGTACATCCCTTTTTAGATATAACATCCCCAGGGTCATTCTCATTTATTCTAGAGTTGTCAACCCTCATTCTCTGTATGGTACATCCCTTTTTAGATACAACATCCCCAGGGTCATTCTCATTTATTCTAGAGTTGTCAACCCTCATTATCTGTATGGTACATCCCTTTTTAGATATAACATCCCCAGGGTCATTCTCATTTATTCTAGAGTTGTTGTGTTATTCATGGGACATCAATCAGTTCATGGTAATTCAGTAATTACAGTATTTGGTATGCATGATGAATCGTAATTTTTCATGAAATATTGATTTTAGTCACTAATGTCCGAAGACAGCTCATGTTATTTATTCATTTTGGATCAGTTGAATAAAAGATTAGAGTATTGTGCATACATGTTATTTGCCATTTTTTCTTGTCTGAAAAATGCACCTTTCATTTTTAGTAAAATAGAATTATGATGATGATTTTCATGGAATTTTTGCAGAATTCTTAGTTTAAGCACAGGGAAACATGAACACAAACATTCATTCACATTCTACTTCTAGCATTTCTTGAATACCACACATTCTGACATTCTGACATATCACAATTTTAAATGCATTTACTAATCACACTTATATTGCTTACCATACAACCCTAAATTGTCACAACTAAGCCACATTGTTGTTATTGTTTTTATTTTGCCAATATTTTATCATTAATAAAAAGTGAAATAAAAAACATAACCTTTCAATGACAAGTAATTACAGTGTAATATGAAATTATGATTTTTTGTATTATGTTATAAAAAGTAAACATGATATGTACAAAATATTTAATATACACTGTATAGATAGAATTACCCTTTACTCCAAGTGTTGCATACTATCTTAAAATGATGTACATGTAATAGTATTCCATTGTAGAGTAAATTTTAAAAAGTATAAAATTGAATTTTTTCTCCAGATGTTGGGAAAAGAGCGCCGTATAAGTCAGCTGAGTCGGGCTAGCCAGGGGTGTGGCTCCATGCCGAGTCAGGGAGGGGCATCATCATCAAGTCATGGGGGATCAAGCACCCCCACAGATGATAACCAGAAACAGTTGATAACCCACGAGCAGATTCTTGTTCAAGAGAATAACGAGAGACAATTTTCACCAAGAGTTGATCACTGATGTTAAATACACCTACATGTACTGTTAACGTTTGTAAAGTCCACATGTAGTTGTTACTTTTTTGAAAAGCCAGTTCCTTAAAATACATCTAGCAAATAATTCCGATTATTGCATTAAGTCATGTGCTTTATTGTGCACAATTATAACCAAATGTTGAGGGAAAGAGAAAAAGTGAAAAAACTTATCTCTGTTCTTCAAAAAAGCCAAACATAGAATATATAATTACTCTAGCCTTGTCAGTGTTTATTTCTGAAATATATTTCTGAAAGATATATTGAAGGAATTACTGAATATTTTTAATTATTACATACTCAGTCATTAAAATGTGCAATATGAGGATTGTATTTGTATTATTCAATTTATACATTTTAAAAATGTAAGCATAGTATGTAGACACACAATAAATGTACTCATGATATATAATCTACATAAAATACTGAATTATGAAAGCTCTAATGATTGAACACACAATATGTGGGCTCTTATTAGGCATGATCTTGTAACCACCATGTTGTCCACTGAAAACTAAAATTGTATGAGTTATAATGCTTACATGTTTGACAGCATAATTGTTTAATAATCAAATCATGGAGATTGTAGTCATATATTTATGATGCCAAATTGCCAAATGAATATGTGTTAGATTGTTTTAAAGAAACCTAACTATGAATTAGATTTAGTCATATTTGTCTGGACTACTAATTTTTATCAGAAGATAAAAACTGAATCAATAAAAATTAGTATTTTTGTGGTCAGAAGAAAGAATGCTTACTTAACATGACATCATCATTAAATTGACAATGCCTGACTTAACATGACATCACTAGCCTACTCCTTGGTGATGATCAATGTCTGTCTGAATGCAATTCCCAAACTGAAAGTTACATTCATAACAATTAAAAATAAAATTAAAAGTTCATCTAAAAAAATATTGAACAATTATGGAGACTAGCTATTTCCATATAAGCCATATAGGATGAGTCTTCATATTTCAAAGCTACAAATATTTATAAACCTAAGTGACATCTATCAATAGATAGAGAAACTGTAGTATGTTATGTTACGTTCGTTATTTTGGAATATTTGAATATTTTTCATTGGATATAACATCATTCAGAATCTCTTTACACCAGTGTATGTTCACAGCTGGTTTAGTATAAATGTACATCTCGGTGTATGTTCATGACCAGTTAATGTTATTGTACATTTCAATGTATGTACAAGAATGCAAGACCAGTGGTGTTATTGTACATTCCGATGTATGTATGAGACCAGTTTAGTCTTATTTTACATTTCAAAATATGTACAAGATCTGTGTAGCATCAATGTACATTTCAGTACATGTAAATGACAAGTTGTATGTACAAAAACATGTACAGGTCTTATACAAAAATGTACAAGACCTGTGTAGCATCGATGTACATTTCAGTGTATGTACATGGCCAGTTATATGTAAGAGTTATTGTACATTTCAATGTATGTACGACACCAGTTTAGTGCTATTGTACATTTCAATGTATGTATAAGATCTGTGGAGCATTGATGTACATTCCAGTTGATGTACATGACCAGTGTATTGTTATTGTATATTTCAATGTATGTACAAGACCAGTTTATTGTAATTGTACATTTCAATGCATTTACAAGACCAATGTAGCATCGATATACATGTCATTGAATGTGCATGGCAAGTGTCATGTTTATGTGCATTTTGATGTGTTAATGAACATCTCAATGAATGTACATGACCAGTCTAGTGTACATGTTAATGTACTTGTACATGATGTACATTTCTATGTTAGTACAGGGTGTGCCCAAAAAATTTGCAACTTTTTTTAGAAGGCAAGAAAGATATCATAACATTATGGTATTGACATAAAAAAGATTTTACAGAAACTTAAGAATAGGCATATTTTACCATTAAAATACGTAAGCTAATACTGATTTTTGGATCAGATGTTTGAATATTAATGCTAAATTGTTCATGTGTCCGAGATTTACTGATTTTCTATGATTTTATGTGATCATCAATAGCACATTTATTATGTCCACTAAATCTGCTACAATCTTTGTTAATAATGATATGTTGAGCGGCTATTTATCAGGACTAATGATTCAAAGGGTATTCTCCTCCAGATATTCCAAAGTAACTGCTGGAATAAATCACCTTGTGCTGAAAGAGCCCCCATTCTTGACAGCTGCCCGTTTTGAAGAATATAAGTCTTGATGAATGCCCACCAAATACACCAGATGCCAACCCCTGTGACTATCACACACAGGGGCACCTGCAGCAGTGTATTGTTGTAGTTAATGGTTATACCCACCAACTATTGATCAGCTAAAAGAAGTTCTGCAGGATAAGTGGAGAGAACTACCACAAGAATTGCTGGATCGCGCCATTGACAAGTTCGGTCCTCGTCTCCATGTGATTGTGAAAGGCGGATGCAGAGAACATTTGTTTAATAAATAATTAATACAGTATAGCAATAATACCATAGTGACTAGATACTGATAAAAAAAACCTGGACTAAACATTGGTTAAACAGTTAAGATTGTAGCAGATTTAGTAAACATAATGAATGTGTTATTGTTGATCACATTAAATCATGGAAAGTCACATTTTCTAGGAAAAATGGTAAATCTCGGACAAATGAACAATTTAGCATTAATATTCAAACATCTGACAAAAAATTTGAAATCAGTATAAGTTTAAGTATTTGAATGGTAAAATATGCCTATCCTTAAGTTTCTGTAAAAAAAAATTATGTCAATACCATGATACTTTTCTAGCCTTCTAAAAAAGTTGAAATTTTTTTTGGCACACCCTGTACATGATCAGTAAAGATAGTATAAATGTATATTTCCATATGTGTATTTGACCAGTATAATGTTAATGTACATTTCAATGTGTGAACATAACCAGTGTATAGTGTTTATCATAGTATGCTACACATCTTTTAAGATTGACTGAATATATAATATTTATCCTATTTATAGTATAATAATATATAATATTTATATAAACAGTACATCATAGGGGTACTTAATCAACAAGTATTTATTGTTGGTGTATATATTTTACAATGTGCAATGTCAGTACATATATTAGTCATATGTACAGAATATTCTTAAAGTAATCCATTAAAGCGGCACTAGATCTGTTGTTAAACAGCCATAAAAATATGTGAAGCCTGTAGTTAACATTTTGTGTGAACTTCATTTTCCAAAAAGATAAAACAATTCACAGTCACTGCTACGTAGAAATCATGAAAAAACATTCCCTTATGTAATGGTACTTAATGACAACTTGAGGAAAAACTAGCAGATATACCTGATGCTAAACTTTTGTCGAAACATGCTTGTTGCATAAAAAATTGATTCTAAAACCTTATATTAGGGCATGCATTATTTTGAAAGTAATTTAGATATTGTGAATAGGCCATATAACAAAGGAGTGTTTTAATGAAAATGGGTATCTTTGATTTTAATGGATAATGGATGGCTACTGTGACGACCGGCGATCAAAAGGTGGTAAACCCTTGGTCTTTTCCGATCGCCGGGCGTCATATTTAACCCCTCCGTTTATATTTTATGTTAGTAAGTTGTAGTTTAGTGTACATATTTACCTTATATTTGCCTTTTTACTCTCATATTTCAAATATTTATATTTACTTTGTTTTGACGGCCATGTTGGAAATGGCGAATTAAGTATTTTACTTTTCCAGTATTTCCGGCATGGTCTTTTCCGTATTTTGTATCTTTCAATCATTATTTTGTAACTTTCATTCAACTTGTATTTTATGTAGACACTTGTTGTCGATTGTCATTTCACTTTTTATTTTATTGCTATTGATTAAATTAATAATTTCGTTTTACTTTTCGCATTCAGTAAGTTTGTCATTTTAATCCATTTTCAAGCGACCTGTACACTCAGTACAGGTGCGCACGCAATTTTATTACTTCGAACTTACTTTACCAGACTCTATTCAGACTTTCTGAATAGACGATTAGTTGTAGTTTGTAGAATAGTACCAAGTAGTAATTAGTTTTAGATTATCCCGTTGGATCAAAGGGATGATTTGTAGATTATCCCTAGTTAGAATAATCATCCCTTTGTTTAGTGTCTGGCTGAAGGGTCAGGTACTACACTAGACTATGGTAATTTGGCTTGCCCATCGTATATATTCTGTCTGGTTCCTTTGGTCATCATTGTACGCCTTTGACAGTCACTTGAACGTTTATACTTATCTTCCTACTTTTAACATTTAGCTTATTTGAATTTAACTTGAAATCAACACTTGGGAATAAATTGCTGTTTTGCCGTCTTGCTATGATGTCTGACCAGAGAGAACCAGAACAGTGGGTAAGCCAGACTAACATATTCTAGTGCCAACAAACCTCATTTGTAACATTGTATTTGTGTTTATTATCTTTGAGATTTAATTTACAATAGATTGATTTGAAACTTTATTTTATTTGTTTCTCGTTTTGTAATATAGTATCACACATTTGTATTTATCAGTACACCTCATATTCATTAAACTTTAGTTCCCTTTCATATAATTCCACGTTCACGCTACCATTTATTTAAATTTACTTATTCCAATTTGCTTTCCAAATTTCCACGCTACCATTCATTGTTGTTGTATTTATTTCATTTGCCCCCATATTTACTGGTCACACTACCAACTGTTAATTATTTATTTCCGCCATTAACTGACGGCCCTGATTTTGTTTTTTAGTTAAACTTCCCCTTTGTTATTATTTAACTATTACCCCAGGGTCCTTACAAATGGTGCCAAGCGGTGGTATATAATACTTTGAAAGTGTTGACACATGCCTCAAACTTTATTTTTATTTAGTGTTAACTTTTAGCTTTGTTTGTTTGTTTCTAACATTACCAATTTTCAGCACAAATACATGCCCAATTACAAAACAGTCACTATGAGTATTTCCTCTGCTGCCCAACAAGCCCCATTGCCCACGTCTAGGTCAGACTGTTCATTTAATGACCCTGAAATTGTCCCAGGTCATCGTGCCCTTGATGACCAGGACATGAAATTTGCCATGGCAGACACTTTACCCTTACCAGATACTTCCAGGCACTCTGAGCGCACAGCCCAGCGTTCGATGCCTGGTGTATCGCCAAAGCCACCAAGATCTGCCTCACCTAGTGGCTATATAAATAAATTTAAAATTGAACACGATCAAACGCCTTGGCAAAGTCCTTCAAAATTTTGCCCCCCTATTCATTCAGGGTATAATCCCTTCTCTACGCCTGCTTGGGAAAATTCAGCATGGAGAGAGCCTTCCCAAGCTCCTCCTTCAATGCTGGCTAAGCCTGGGAGGGACTATGCAAGGGGTGAGCCTTCCAACGCTCCCCCAAGCCCATTACATCGTGGGGAAATACATCCCAGGGGTGAACTCTCCCGAGCTCCCCAAAGCCCATTATACCCTGGGGAAGGCAACGCCAGGGGTGAGCTCTCTAGAGCTCCCTCTAGCCAAAGGCACTTTGTTGGGGAATTTGCAGGGGATGAGCTCTCCCAAGCTCCCCCAAGCCCATTACGTCGTGGGGAAATATATCCCAGGGGCGAGCTTTCCCGAGCTCCCCCAAGCCCAATATACCATGAGGGATACATTGCCAGGGGTGAGCTCTCTAGAGCTCCCCCTAGCCAAAGGCATTCTGTTGGGGAATTTGCAGGGGCCGAGCTCTCCCAAGCTCACCCAAGCCCATTACATCCTGGGGAAATATATCCCAGGGGCGAGCTCTCCCGAGCTCCCCCAAGCCCAATATACCCTGGGGAAGGCAACGCCAGGGGTGAGCTCTCTAGAGCTCCCTCTAGCCAAAGGCACTTTGGTGGGGAATATGCAGGGGCCGAGCTCTCCCAAGCTCCCCCAAGCACATTACATCGTGGGGAAATATATCCCAGGGGCGAGCTCTCCCGAGCTCCCCCAAGCCCAATATACCATGAGGGAAGCAACGCCAGGGGTGAGCTCTCTAGAGCTCCCCCTAGCCAAAGGCGTTCTGTTGGGGAATTTGCAAGGGGTGAGCTTTCCCGAGCATTCCCAAGCCCTTTACTTCATGGGGAAGTATACCCAAGGAGGGAGTCCCACAGGGCTCCCCTACATCCAAGGCACAAGGGGAGGGAACATGCCAGGGGCGAGCTCTCACGAGCTCCCCTAAGTCCATTGCATCCTGGAATAAATTATTCAAGGGGCGATCCTTCTCAATTCCCCACAAGCCAATGTATTCCTGGGAGGGGAAATCCATGGGTTGAGCGGTTTCAAGCACCACAACCACCCAGAAATTCTGCAAACCAGCATGTATTGAGTGAGCTCTTATCAGCTCCTCTGCATCCCCAGCATCATGATGATACAGATTTATGGGCAGATTACTCCCAAGTTTCAGCTTCTAAGCCCTCTGTAAGACATGTCAAAAGGAAGGGTCCAAGTCCATTTAAGAGGGGTTCAGAGGGGAGTCAACTTTCTTATGGGAAGGGATCTGATACCATGTCTTGGGTGTTAGAGCAGCGGTCCTTGAACAGAAGCCTCCATACTCCCCATTATGATTCTCGTCCCAGAAGTAAACCCAAACGAAACTTACCTCCTTGCCGGTCCTCTCATTATGAGACTGCACCTTCTGACGTTTATGAAACAGCACAGTCCAACATTCTCAGTGACCCCTGGGGTAAGGCAGATTCCCTACTTAGGGCCAAGAAACCCAAGAAGCGGTCCACTGCGCTTCCTAAGTTATGGGATACTTCTTCTGGGGAGAGTGTGTCCAAAGTTTCAGTATATGATCCTGCTCCTAAACCTAAAAAGATTCGGGGAATGAAGCCTCCTAAATTTGATGGGAAATGTAGCTTGTCTGCATTTCTTACCCAATTTAGATTAGTGGCACGCAACAACGGGTGGGACAACAGCCAGGCTTCAATTTACTTAATTAGAAGCCTGGAGGGTGAGGCTGCAAACATTCTTGATGATATTGAAGATGAGGTAGATCCAAGCCTCGACTCTATCATCAATGCCCTGCAAATGAATTATGAGCCACCTCAGCAAAGTGATAATGCCAGGGCCCTATTGAAACACAGGCTCCGACAACCAAATGAACCCCTTGAGAAGCTGGCTCATGATATTCGCAAGCTCTCTCGTAAGGCATATGGCAATATGGGAATGCCAAAATCGGGAATAGAAAATCAGGCCAAACAGGCCTTCATAGATTCCCTGAATGATGTTGACTTGGAGGCCAAACTGTCCTTTTCAAGCCCCAAGTCGCTTAATGAAGCCCTGACCATGGCCCTGCAATACGAATCCTTTTTCAAGGGACGTAAGCAGCGGTTACAAGTCACGACTGACCCCGAACTCCGAGTTGCCAAAACACCTGTCCAACCCCTGCCCACTGAGTCCCCATCTGGTTTGATTTCCGAGTTCTCCAAATTGTTGGAGAGTCAGAAGTCCCAGATGGAAACTCTCCAATCCCTCTCTGAGACTATTAAGGCCAATGTAGCCAGGCATCCTACTTCAAAACCCCGACGTACTGTTTATTGCAAAATATGTGATACTCGGGAACACAGTATTTTTGATTGCCTGCACAGACATCCCAATTCAAAAGTCCCTGGAGCCCGTGTCTGTTTCAAATGTGGCGAAGATGGCCACAGAGTCTCAGACTGCCCTGCCCTGAAGGCCAAGTCCCCATCTAAGTCGGGAAACTAGAATGTGCTGAGTCGGTGGGCCTCGATTCAGCATCCCAGCCACAAAGGCCCACCAGTTTTAAAATCCAAAGTGGCTACAATGGCCTCTGCCTTGAATTGAATTTCCCATGTCTTTCCATCCCAGCTTTAATTGACTCTGGTGCTCAAGTGAGTTTACTTTCTGAACAGACTGCAAAATGTTTAGGACATAGTTTTAATGTCCCTGCCAAAAACCCACTAGGCTCAAGTGTTACCCTGGCTGATGGAAGCCAATCTTCAATTCTGGGGAGAGTAAAGCAAGAATTCAAAATTGGTGACACCAAATTTTCACATCTCTTTCTTGTCAGTAAACTGTCCTGCTCAGCTATCTTGGGATTTGACTTTTTGGAGGAAAATTGTGGGATAATGAATGTGAAAGAGGGAACTTTGAAGTTAAATGGGGATATTTTTGAATGTGTCTTTGAAAACACCTTGTCCCCCTCTTGCAAACTGTTGATGGAGGAAACCATCACAGTGCCGCCCAACAGTGAAATGATCGTCCCTGGACGGACTGAATGTGAATGGGGAGACACTCCATTACTCGTCTCCCAAAGTGCAACTCCAAGCCCCAGTTTAAATAATCTCATGGTGGCTAAAGCTGTGGTTAGTCCCCGTAACCCCTTTATTCCCATAAGGATTGCCAATCTTGGCCTCCAGCCCATGACTTTGTATAGAAACATGACCATTGCCTCTGGGGAACCCATCTATGATCCATTGCCCCCATTCTCAGAAGATTTGTCAGAGAAACAATGTGAGGTGAACTCTATTTTCCCCAGTCCGGACCCTTGTCAAACACCTGAGGCTGATGTTCCCCTGAATAATAGCAGCGATGATTTTGTTGATTTAATGGCTGTCGACCACTTGAATGAGTTGCAGAAAGCAACTCCATTGACCTTTGACCCGGTTGACCCTGTTATTTGCCCTGAAATGCTATTTAAGGACCCTGACCCAATTCGCCTCGGTGTTATTGCTGAAGAGAGTGAACCTGATTCACTCCCTATACAAGAAAATGTTGACTTTGTTCCCAGTGAGAATGTTACAGACTCGAACTGTTTCCCTGACCACTTACAGGACTTGTCTTCTGAAAGTGGGAAATCTTTGACCTCAACTGAGAAGGTGTTGTTGAAGACATTTCTACAAAATAATGCAGACCTCTTTGCCCAGTCCAAGTTTGACATTGGTCGGACAGACAAGGTTCAGCATGAGATAGACACGGGAGATGCTAAACCCATCCGGCAGCCTCCAAGAAGATTACCCTATTCCAAAGAGCGTGAAGGTCGGCAAATTGTTGAGGAGCTCCTTGAAAAAGGTATTGCCCGACCCTCCAATGGACCTTGGGCTTCCCCAATCGTACTTGTCCCCAAGAAAGATGGATCACTCCGTTTTTGTGTTGACTATCGTCAGCTAAATCAAGTAACTGTGAAGGACGCCTATCCTCTGCCAAGGATAGACGACACCTTAGACAGTTTAAAGGGTTCTAAATACTTCAGCACCCTTGACTTGGCTAGTGGCTACTGGCAGGTAGCCATGAATGATGCTGACTCAGCGAAAACTGCATTTTCCACCAAATGGGGACTCTATGAGTTTACCGTGATGCCCTTTGGTTTGTCAAATGCCCCTGCAACCTTCCAACGTCTGATGAATGTCGTTCTATCCGGTTTGAACACTGATTGTTGTCTCGTCTACCTTGATGACATAATAATCTTTAGTTCAACCGTAGAAGAACATCTTGACCGATTATCCAAAGTTTTTGAAAAACTTCGAGATGCAAATTTGAAATTGTCCCCTAAGAAATGCCATTTGTTCCAATCTGAAGTATGCTATCTTGGACACGTAGTCTCTGAGCGTGGCATTTCTATAGACCCTGACAAGTTTGCTGCTGTACGAGACTGGTCTACCCCCAAAACAGTCCGACAGGTGCGAGCATTTCTAGGCCACTGTTCCTACTACAGGAAATTCATTCCCAACTTTGCTGGCATTTCTGAGCCCCTGGTCCGCCTAACTGACAAGGGAGCTGTCTTCAGGTGGACCACCCCATGTGGCGAAGCTTTTGAAGAGCTGAAGAGACTGTTCTTGAATGCAGCAACTTTAGATTACCCTGATGTAACTAAACCATTGATCCTTGACACTGACGCCAGTGCTTGTCGATCTGGTGCGGTGCTATCCCAAATAGTAGATGGTGAGGAGAGGGTTGTACAGAACTTCAGTAAGACCCATTCCAAATGTGAGAGGAACTATTGTGCTACCCGGTTGGAGTTACTGGCTATTGTCAAAGCAGTGAAACACTTTCACCACTACCTCTATGGGAATCCTTTTACCATTCGAACTGACCACAGTGCCCTTACATGGCTCTTCCGATTTAAGAACCCTGAAGGACAGCTGGCCCGCTGGCTCGAGTACCTAAGTCAGTATGACTTTACCATTTCCCATCGGGCTGGCAGGAAGCACCTCAACGCTGATGCCTTGTCCAGAGTCCCATGTATTGACTGCCGCTATTGTGATAGACAGGTTGCTCTTGGACGCACACCCCCTCTCAGCAGCCAAACTGATGAGGACTCCAATGATGGCCCTGTTATTAACCGTGTCAGCTTCGACATTGATTTGATATCCACTCCCTCTGTTCGGATTGTCAGTCCGGGCACGGATAGATCTGATGACTGTTCCAACCCAGTTTCTGATTGCCATTGGGCACCAAATTTGACGGAGCACGGGATGAAAGATGTTTTACTCCAAGACCCCGAAATGTCCAAACTATTCACTTGGTTAGAAGAGGGAAAGCGGCCAGATTGGCAAACTATTTCTGATCGGTCTCCTCTCCTCAAACAGTACTGGTCCCAATGGGATAGGTATAAGTTAGAGAATGGAGTAATCTATAGGAAGTGGGTGCATTCTGATACAAACTTGGTGGAATGGCAAATCCTAGTCCCAAAGTCCCTTCGGTCCCAAGTGTTAACCCACCTCCACAATGCTCTTGATACTGGTCACCTTGGGGTGGCTAAAACAATTAATCGGCTTCGACCTCGATATTATTGGGTTGGGTTCAAAGGGGATGTGGCAAAATGGGTGGCAGAATGCAAAGAATGTCAAAGAAGGAAAAATCCAGGGACTCGCGCCAAAGCCCCGATGAAGCAATATAATGTTGGGGCCCCACTTGAACGTATAGGAATTGATATTTTAGGCCCTTTGCCACAGTCTGAGGAGGGTTTCAAATATGTCCTAGTCATTGAAGATTATTTTACAAAATTCCCTGAAATTCTTCCCATGCAAAATCAAGAAGCAGCCACAGTCGCCAATGCCTTGATCACTGAGTTTTTCTGCCGCTATGGTGCCCCATTACAGCTTCATTCTGATCAAGGTGCCCAATTTGAGTCTCGACTGTTCCAGGAGGTTTGTCGTATTTTTGAAATCAACAAGACCCGTACCACCCCTTATCATCCCCAGTCTGATGGGCTCGTCGAACGAGCTAACCGGACAATCGAATCCATGCTTGCCAAACTTGTCTCAAGCCATCACCGAGATTGGCCCCAGTTCCTTCCTTTTGTTGCGTCTGCCCTCAGATCTGCTGTACATGAAACGACCAAATTTGCTCCCTCTGAGTTGATGTTTGGTCGTCGCCCACATATTGCAGCGGATCTGGTGCTTGGTCGGCCACCCCCAAGTTACAACAATGTACCCCAAGATAGTGCTGCAACCACCTACTGTCAAAACCTCAAAGAAAGGTTGGTTGTTGTCCATGAAACCGCCCGTAATCATATTTCTCTGTCAAGTAATAACCAAAAGAGGCAATATGATTTAAAGGCTAACTTGGTGGAGTACCATGAGAACGATCTAGTTTGGTTACACATTCCCCTAGCCAAGACAGGTCAGACCCCCAAATTCGCCAATCATTGGCATGGCCCCTTCAAGGTTCTCCTAAAACTTGATGATCTCCGGTACATGTTGGAAATAAAGGGGAAAGAAAAGGTTGTACATAGCAATCGTTTAAAACCATTTTTGGGAGAGAAACCCCCTGAATTTAATTCTGATATTCCACCTTCCACCCCTGAGGAGGTCTCCAAAACAATTGCCCAAGGTCCTTCAACTCCTGATCGAAATAAACGACCCTCCCGTCAGGCAAAGGTACCATCCTGGTTAGATGGGTATGAGGTGTACTCCATAACATGTTAAATGATATTGCTTTAATATGTGCCCCTAGTCACCCTCAAACCCTCACCATCCCTTTCCCCATTTTGTTCTTTCAGGAATGCAGGACTACCATCATGAGACGCAACAACAAGGGTGCCATCATATGTGAGGAAAAGTTCCCCACCTGGAAACTGCTGAAGGCCCATGTCAAGGTCTGTCGGGCAAGGGTGAAACTGATGAAGAAGAGCCCCCAGCTTCAACAGTCCCCAGTAGTCCGGGTGGCACGGCTTGCTGAGCCCCCGGCCCCAACTACTGAGGCTGCATCCCCAGCCCCATCTACAGAGGTTGAACCACCAGCAGTAGTCCGGGTGGCACGCATTGCTGAGCCCCCGGCCCCAACTACTCAAACTTTAGTCCCTGAGAGCCTTCCAGTGAAGCTTGCATACTTCGAAGGACAATCAGTGCCAGCTACAATTGTAAGTCCCCACGTGGACGTTACCGTAACGCTCCCCAAGAGGAAGGTCGTCTTCCAGGAGCGGGGTGTCGTCACTGGTGAGCTTCTTCACCAGTTTGAGGGCACCCTTGCCCAAACTCCTGAGAAGCCCCCCACTTCTGCTGCTTCAGATTCCCCCAACCGGGTGGTAGGCATGACACACCTCATGGTCTGTGGGCCTGCCAAGAAGAGGCGAAGGAGAAAGAGAAGGAGAACAGCAATGAAGGAGGGATCTTCAGAGGTTGTTCCATTGATGAGCCTGGAGGTGGTCCTGCCTGAGAAAGTAGTGGGCGCCCTTTCCCCTGATGAGTTAGATCGTTACAAACTAAGTCAGGGGGAGAGGGTGTCCAAAGCAGACTCAGTGGACCATTTCATTTTCACCCCTCCAGAATCGATGGATGAGCTATAATGATATGAACACTGCCAATGAGGCCTTAAAATCAACATTGGACTCTTTAGTCAATGGACTCTTGTGTATATATACATATATATATTTTTTTTCTTTCTGTTGGTTCGGGTCGAACCTGTTTTTAAAGGGGAAGTGATGTGACGACCGGCGATCAAAAGGTGGTAAACCCTTGGTCTTTTCCGATCGCCGGGCGTCATATTTAACCCCTCCGTTTATATTTTATGTTAGTAAGTTGTAGTTTAGTGTACATATTTACCTTATATTTGCCTTTTTACTCTCATATTTCAAATATTTATATTTACTTTGTTTTGACGGCCATGTTGGAAATGGCGAATTAAGTATTTTACTTTTCCAGTATTTCCGGCATGGTCTTTTCCGTATTTTGTATCTTTCAATCATTATTTTGTAACTTTCATTCAACTTGTATTTTATGTAGACACTTGTTGTCGATTGTCATTTCACTTTTTATTTTATTGCTATTGATTAAATTAATAATTTCGTTTTACTTTTCGCATTCAGTAAGTTTGTCATTTTAATCCATTTTCAAGCGACCTGTACACTCAGTACAGGTGCGCACGCAATTTTATTACTTCGAACTTACTTTACCAGACTCTATTCAGACTTTCTGAATAGACGATTAGTTGTAGTTTGTAGAATAGTACCAAGTAGTAATTAGTTTTAGATTATCCCGTTGGATCAAAGGGATGATTTGTAGATTATCCCTAGTTAGAATAATCATCCCTTTGTTTAGTGTCTGGCTGAAGGGTCAGGTACTACACTAGACTATGGTAATTTGGCTTGCCCATCGTATATATTCTGTCTGGTTCCTTTGGTCATCATTGTACGCCTTTGACAGTCACTTGAACGTTTATACTTATCTTCCTACTTTTAACATTTAGCTTATTTGAATTTAACTTGAAATCAACACTTGGGAATAAATTGCTGTTTTGCCGTCTTGCTATGATGTCTGACCAGAGAGAACCAGAACAGTGGGTAAGCCAGACTAACATATTCTAGTGCCAACAAACCTCATTTGTAACATTGTATTTGTGTTTATTATCTTTGAGATTTAATTTACAATAGATTGATTTGAAACTTTATTTTATTTGTTTCTCGTTTTGTAATATAGTATCACACATTTGTATTTATCAGTACACCTCATATTCATTAAACTTTAGTTCCCTTTCATATAATTCCACGTTCACGCTACCATTTATTTAAATTTACTTATTCCAATTTGCTTTCCAAATTTCCACGCTACCATTCATTGTTGTTGTATTTATTTCATTTGCCCCCATATTTACTGGTCACACTACCAACTGTTAATTATTTATTTCCGCCATTAACTGACGGCCCTGATTTTGTTTTTTAGTTAAACTTCCCCTTTGTTATTATTTAACTATTACCCCAGGGTCCTTACAGCTACTAATAATAGAAATAGTGTCCCTCTATTGGACATGTATTTATTTGAATTCTGTTAAGCTAGTCTGTATAATAAATTGAATATATGTTAAGAATTGAAGTATTCAGCTGTTCTTTTATATTGCTATGTATTTCTAAATCTTTCTCATTAGCCAAAATAGTCTCCTCAAAGGAATTGGAGTGGGTCAAAATGTCCAGCCCCAAACCATGTCAAAATCATGAAAACTTAGATGTATACAACAGTACAAGCACCCATACCCATACGTACATACATGGCAGTTATTTTGAAAATTATTGGACATTATATTTGCAAATACTGTTCATGTATTAACCAAGCTTCTGTTTTACTTTATTATGTCATCACAAGAAGTGGGGACATATTGTTATAGGCTCCAACTTTTTTGTGTGCAGTTTTTGGCAGTTGGCATTTGGAGGTTGGTGTTTGGCAGTTGCTGTTTGGTATCTGTAAAATGGTATGTGGTGACATTTTGCATGGACATGTAATTGCATTGTACAATATTACACAAACTAGCACACACGGCAGCCTTTTACATATACCGGTTTGTGGACCATGCAGTCAAGTACCCTTATAAATATAAGTACAATGCAAACTTTTGCCTGAACAGGGAATCACACCTGGGGAAACTCGGGAGCACTTATTAGAAGTACATGCCTTACCACCTGATCAATCAGAAGAGTCTTTCTTTTGACACATCAGTCTTAGCACATCAATCTTTGTAGTACAGTTAAACCTCTGTAAGTAGAACATCTTTGGTTCTGCAAAGTGTTCCAATGAGGAGGTGTTCCACTCATAGAAATTCAATTAACATTTAGTCTCAATGACTTATATAGGACTATGCTGAGTGTTCATCTTAAAAAGGTGTGCCATTTTTACAGGTGTTTCATTTGATTGGTCTTATCATCCTTAATGCAAGGGTATTTCACTTCATAAGTTCAGACAAGATCTGTCTTTAAGGAGGAATTTGTATTTATCAATCTTAGTTGTGATCATTTACACTTCAAACTCTGCTGAGCCACACCTTTCTGCATTAATTGACACTGATTTATGTTTCAATTCCATGCTTCTTGGGCATAGTAATTTATTACTCGGTAATGACTGATTTCTCGAATTATTTTTTATGTTGTAAATTGTAAATAGAAATTCATATTGAGTTACCCCCTCATCAATCACAAGTGACAACATGAACGCAATAAACTTTTGAAAATTCAAAACTAGTGTAATGTTTTGACCGTTGTTATGACAACAACCAAAAGTTGAAAAAAGGCTAATATGCACACTAAATTATTCTCATTTACTGTTCAGTAGTTCTCAAAGTGAATGGTGTGGCATGTCACATAAGGTAATATGGCTTTCAATTTTATTAAGAAATGCATTTTTATCTCGAAATCTCATCTTATAATCAATTTAACATTAGATAATTTTACACCATGGAACTGGCATTTATAGATATGTTCACTTAAAAAATATAACACTTACATTTTCTCTTTATAACCCATTTTCTAATGTTTAATTTACACGCAAAAAGAATTAAATGTTTTATAATTTCATATGTAAATTATTACTCAATTCGTAACATTTTTATTGTAAACTATTGAAAGAATTCTTGTCAAATCTCTGGACTAACAGACTAATAGGACCATGAAGTATTTAACAAATGGTTTGATTCCCTAAGTTCAAATGGACTTAAAGCAGGCAAAATATAACATATTTGGCTGATTATCTTGAACATTTTATATGAATGCATGAATATATGTCAACATCTAACCCCACTTTAACTCTTGCATCACCCTACTCACTTTTCGTATTATATTGACATAACTTGAGTGTTTTATTCATCACGTAATGAAAGGGAAATTAACCTGTTATGATATTAGTCAATATGTGCAAGAACTTATTAATTTTATTGAACCGCCTTAACAGTTAAAATATGAATCTTGTTTTTCAATAGCGATATCAGTCATCAGTAATCTAAAGGTGTGATTAGGCTGTGGGTTTGAATCTTTGGTGTTCCAAAATATATATTATGGTGGTGCTTCGTTTAAAAAAGTGGAAATTTGAAACAATTCAAAAAGAAATTAATCTTTTAAACATGTTAAAGTGACATATTGAAACGGGATTAGTCTCACAAAATAAAAATCAACAAACAGAATATAGTTTTTGAATTAACAAAACTCAGAGACTCAGACAGAAATGACTAATTTAAATTGAAAAGTGGATTTTAATACAAAACTCAACATAAAAATCTTTACTTGTAGGAATTAACTAATATATGACAATAATATTCAAAGTGAAAAGGATGCCTCAGTCACTGAACAGAAAAGCATTCATGACAACCAACAACATACCATTTGGCAAAGGCTCCCTGAGTAGTACAATCCTCGATACAGTTTTACGTCACAAGCAACACATTGATAAAATCAACGAGCGAGAAAATAAACGCCTTGAGAACTTAATGAAGTTATTTGACCAGAAGAAACAAACTCTGAATTATCAAACTGAGAGAATGATACGAGGGATAAACAAAGACATCAAGGAATTAGAAGCCTATCAAAAGGTGTTAGAATCCTACAAAGCTGACAAAATGAAGACATTAGAGTTTGGGTTTGATCGGTCCAAATATCCCAAAACTCCAAAATCACAACGTAGACTTAAGTTTGAGACACGGATTTACCATGCTGGACCATCCTTAAAGGTCCTTTATCCTGAGGTACTGGAATGCATCGAGAGAGAAAATCCAGTGCATAAACGACAGAGAAAAGCACACGCATTGTATGAGAGGGCTAAGGTGATCAGCGATTTTCAAATTGATAGAAGAATAACCAATGAGGCTTTGAGAAAGGAGACTAAACAATCAGAAAAGCCTGTTCGACCATGGTCGCATGTAGAGTGAACAATGTGAATCTCCTGCTTCTCATTAAAACAACCATTTAAATCCCGACTATTGGGGGGGGAAATATCACATTATCTCGAAAAAACTGTGTTATAATAATCACAAAATTTTAAGAAAATTGCAAAAATTCATTGCACTTTTTGGAAAATCCACAAAATTCTGAGAATTAATTGTGCACACCATTATAGTTTTATTGTATTTTGGGTTTTATTTCATAAAATATTTATCAAATATGTAACCATAGTAAATTAGTAATTTGGTTGCAGTTCTGGATTGGACAATAGAGACGTTTCGATCTAAGTTATTTGGAACATGTACACAAACCTGTACTTCTACAAGTCAGGTATAGAACTGGGGAGGAACTCAAATCACAACAAAATATTTGGCAAGTATGTACATGTAGTTCATGAATTCCATTTAACTAAAACTTAAAAATGAACTTGTTTTAGCAGCTATAATACAATGACACTGCAACATGAGATTTAGTTAAATTCTTTGCATGTTATATTTACATCATATTGTTTACATCCTGGTTAAATCAGCGCTAATGTGTTAAACTGTTATAAATAAAAGCTTGAATGGACTGAATACGAAAGAAACCTGCAACGAACAGTTTTTATTTCTTTAGACGTCAAAGCATTTATAAAATACAATGAATGCTCAAAGGTTTGCTTAGCTGAATAGCTCCTCAAATGTGCCATATTGAATCCACAACATGAGCCTATAGTTCACTTTACTGATGGATCAGATTAGGCTGACATTATTTAAACAGACACTGGTTATAAACATGTTTTAGGAAATAGAAGAGATTTTCTGCTCTGAAATTGCAACGCTTTCTGTAATTTCTGCTTCTACATGTATATCACATAATATTCTCCTGTTAAGAGGCCATAAATATTAACTGCCTCTTTAGTGTATTTAGAGATTTCTCCCTTTTTGACCTGTCATTTCTCTTCAAAATATTTTGATGGTGTTAATTACTGTCAACTGTCAATCAATGGGATGAATATGTTCGCATCAAAAAACAAAGTTTGCTCATCATTTAACAAGTTATAAATAGCTGTATTCCAATGGTACAGTGTAGGTGTGTGGTCAGAGGTTTTCAGCGGATCCCCTAAGAAAGCTTAGGAACTGGAGTGTAACGCCAGAACATGCTTGATCCCCTTTTTAACTCACCCTGGAAGCAAATAAAAGAAATATATTGCTAAACTGTAACATAGTCTATACTAGGCAGAGGGTAGTTATAGCTAGAATCTGTGTGCAGGGTAATGTATTAACATTTATAACATTTATCAGAGTGGTAATTTTAATGCAGAATAAAGTAAACAAGGCATTAACATGCAAAATGTCACAATATGCCATTTGTTGCAGATGCCAGACACTGAACACCAACCGGCAAACACCATCCACAAAATAATATGAGGCCAGTATAAATATATCGCCTCCAGTCGATGATAATTTCACATCGATTCCTTGATAAGCCTGAATATGAGAGATCCTCAATAAGTATTTATTGATGGGCCCTTGTCTTGTAAAATACAATAAGTGCAAGATTTTGATCAAAAGATCATTTCAGTTTAATGACTTCTTGCTTCAAAATAATCAGAAAATGAGAGCATTTTTATCAGAATATATGGATCGCCCCTTGTATATTGCCTCCAGTTGATGATCTTTTAACATTGATTCCTTGATAAACCTGAATATACGAGAGCACCTCAATTAGTCTAAATATCATTTGGGTTTTATGTCTTGTTGCTTCAGTTCAATGTTGACAAGATCACTAACTAAAATTTAATTAAATCACTGGTTAAAACTTGTCAAAATTAATAAAACAAGGCATTAACATGCAAAATGTCACCACCTGCAATTTATTACAGACACTGACCACAAAACATGCAGGCACCATCATCCACAAAATAGTTGGAAACTGTAACAATTTGTCGCCATTTCTGGTGGTGACAGAAAAAAATAAATCTAGCAAACCTGGGTAGAAAGGAAACTCCAGCAATCTGTCCAGCTTGAGAAATGGGCCATGGTTGGAGGACTGCCAGCTGCTAATCTGAAAAACCATAATAAGTACAGATTTACCAGAACGTAATATGAAGACAATCCTAGAATATGGTATATGCCTACTATCAGAAAAGAATATCATTTTGAAATTGTTTTTGCATTAGTATGCTAATTCACTGGTCTGTTCTTAATATTGTATCAAATGAGTTTGGTTTATGTGAAGGTAAAAGATCCCTGTTTAATAAGTGCTTTAAAAACTCTAGTCATCAGACCTAAGCTCTAACTAAGTAGTTTCTTAAGTTATTTCTTGGAACTTCATCAAATGAAGTGCCTTGAGTTTGATAGTGTTTTGATTGGTTTTAAAGCTTCCAGTCTAGGCCTTATTAAATGAGAAGTTTTTTATGTTTAGGTGTTTGGAAGAATCTTTACTTTTCATTTTAAATAATATTTGAATATGTGACTAAATGGAACATGTTTTGAATGTAATTTCTTTCTGCAAGTTGACTGAGTGTAAAAATGCGAATTTCTCTGGATAGTTTAGAAGGCACATTTTGGAATTGTCCATTGCAAGATGAATTATAATAACTTGTGCAATAAAGTATTCCATCAATTTGAGTTCAATTATTGGCCACATGTCTCTGGGTAAGTAAGTGCATTTTAAATATAGCAAATATGACATACTGGAATTCCAATTCATATTTAGGCATTATAATTGTTAATACTTTGCATGAAAAGAGGTCATACCTTTATAAGGTATCTGTAAGCTTAGTTTTCAGCAATTCAAAAAATTCTATGTCAACTTTCCATTTATATTACAAAAACCTTTTATGCGTGTTCAAAATAAAACTTCCTTGTCATTTTCATTGGTTACTTCTTCGTAAACTTTAAAGCATACATAGAGCTAGAACTTCAATATGAAATAATAAATAAGGAGAGACAGTACAATTACGCAGTTTGCTACAGTCTGCTACAGGTATATATGGTAAAGTAGTAAAACTTGAGAAGCTGAACTATTTATGATGTTACTTTGCTCTTTGATGAACATAGAATCTTGAAAACTTTATAAAATAATTTTAGCATATAATCTGTTTTTGAGATCAGACATGTATAAGAAAATCTTCTAAAGATTGACATATAGATATATCAGTAAGATAGAAACAATGTCAGTAAGATAAAAATTACTTCATTGTATTTCAGACCCTACAACATGCATCCTCAAACAAGTAAAATGCTGCTGTACATTGTCATTTTATTGGCTTCATGTCTTGATTTGACACACGAGGAAAACAAAAATGGGACAATGTTTTTCCAAAATGAGAGGATACCTTCCGAAAAAGTGACAATATCTTTCAAAGAAGAGTCACTCAAGTTTGAAAGCATGTTACCAGAACATCCAGTCTGTCCCAAGCAATGCCAGATATGCAATGCAACACATGTCTTCTGTGTGAATAATAACTTCACTAGCATCCCTCAAACATTCCCTCAGACTATTGAGTACCTGGATCTATTTAACAATATGCTGAATGATATCCCTGGAGGTGTTTTCAACAGGTACCAGGAACTATATTCACTCAATATCAGCCAAAATGGCCATATGGAAACAATACATAACGACTCATTCAATGGACTGGAATCTTTAGAGCACCTAGATCTGCAATATCTTACAAGCTTGAAGAACAGGTCCTCTTGAGATTAAGATCATTACCGATGAACTGTACCTTGGATTATTTAAATCTCAAACATGTCAATGAAGTCACTGATTTTGAAGTTCTATCATTGCCGATGTTGAAGGTTTTAAAAAGGCTGAAAGTAAAAGTGCTGATTCTGGATGAGAATCGTATTGTTTCTATTCGTCCTGGTTACTCAGAGTATTTATTTTCAGTAAAATATTTCTCCTTAAGAAGGAACTACATTCATCATAATACTATCCTTTTTGGTCATGTTATGGATTTCCTTCTAATGTACAACATGAAGGTCTTGGATCTAGCAGAGAATTCACAAATACTTTCTAGAAATAAACCGCCATCAAACAGGACATCTACACATATTTGTGTACCATTACCACGAGACATAGAAGAAATCTATGTCAAAAATTTACAGTTCACATTTGATTACATTCTGTATGTCAATGGTCTTTGCTTTGCACAGCCTAATAAACTGCGTATATTTGACTTGACAGGAACATCATTCTGGGGATATGGAAAGCCAATTAAAGGTTTGAATTCTCTTAAATATCTCAACTTTCAAAAGGCAAAAGTCAAATTTATGGACCCTGAAACATTCAACTGTAAATATTTCCCTGCAATGGAAACTTTACTTCTTGGTGACCTTGACTTATCTCCAACATTTGGAAGCACTGACAAACATTCACTTATTTTTCAAAATTGTTCCAAAATGGTCACCATTGATCTTGCAAACACTAATTTTCCAATTATTCCAAATCAAGCTTTTCAGGACATGTCTATAGTAGAGAATATAAACATCAGTTCAAATTACATAATGGGACTGGACATTGACCTTAAAAATAACTTGAACTTGAAGTTATTAAATGTGTCTTATAACCTTGTAAAGTATTTGTCACCTGATATGATGCATCAACTTGATAAAATTGCTAATCAACCAGATCATGATCTAGTGCTTGATCTTCAACACAATCCACTACTTTGTGGCTGTGAACAATTGGAATTCATCAAATGGATGAAATCAACAGCTGTAAGTTTCTACAAGTTTGACTCATATTTGTGTCTCCACAAAGACACTTATTACAAATTTTCAACATTATCAGTAAGTGATATCCAGTTACAATGCAAAATGGAGGTCATCAAGATATCATCTTCCATTAGTGCCACATTTCTGTTTATCATCATGATGGGTGTGGTGTTTTACATGAAACGCCATAGAATGGAGTACCTTTTCTTGTTGAGCAGACAAATGGCCCGTAGATTGATTGGCAGGACACGATCTAGAGGTAACAGACTATACAAATACCATGGATTTGTATGTTGGAGTAGCCAGGAAGATATCTCAATAATTGTGTTAATTCAAGGAAAACTGGAAATGGATTTCGGACTTCGCCTTGCCATTGGTGATCGGGATTTTGAAGTAGGTGGCTATATAATTGACAATATCGTACATTTCATTACAGCAAGTCGTAAAACAATCATCTTTCTGAGTAATAACTATTTGAACAGCAAGTGGTGTATGTTTGAGCTACAAATTGCAATGAACAAGAGCCAAGAGGTAGAGTTTGACACAGTTGTTATGATTCTTCTTCATGATATCAATGATTTAGACAAGGCAAAGATGCCACCAAGCCTGACAAATTATTTGAAACGCAAGACATATCTACAATGGCCGGCATCCTCTGCACAGCAACCAGTCTTCTGGCTTCGTCTTAAGGATGTCCTTGATTTTGGTGAGATACAGAATGATCAGCCCTTGGTTATCAATCCAGGAGAAAATGATCAGGTTGAACAAAATGATGGGTCCCATACTATAGATGTAAGGGAACAAAATGATCAGTCATTTGTTGTCAATCCAGACGAAAATGATGGGTCTAATACTGATGTGGCAGTAGATGAACAATCATTTGATGAAGATATGATATATAGAGAACCATTACTAAGACTGAACTAATATTGAACAATCAAAATGTGTGTCAAAATCGACAAGAATCAACATGTAGATCTTTTATTGACTCAATAACATATAAATGAAACGTACAGTATATGTACATGTAGTGTGCAAAATATCAAGTCACCAATCAGCAAAAAGGATATAAGTAAAATCAGGTGTTATGATTTCAAACTGTGTCATAGCTTTGGACAGGTACAAGACAGCTATAAAGAAGTTAATGAAAAGTATCTTTTTCTCGCTAGTCAGCCAGTATTTGTAACAGACAAATTCATTGGTTGATACGTCAGAAATATTTCAAACCACAAAAAATCAAAATTAGCATCATCTTGAAATGAGCATGTCAAATCACATGGCTTCGTTTAGAGGTAAGAACTGTAGTGTAAATCAGCTTCAAGTGACATATATTTTTACACACACATTTTCCTATTTCAATATTCTAATCATTTAGTTTGGACTCAACCCGTTTCATTTGGTGTGGTGATATTATTTCATTACCCAGGAATTTCTTTACAGAATTTAATTTGTGGATATACAGAAAACATTTGGTGAGGACATTTTAAAATGTTTGTCAAGTAAAAAGATATTTCGCACACTGACATGTACATGCACATATATGTATATAATTTTGGATAACCATATGATGATATTTCCATGTAAATAAATAATAGTTATAAAGTACTATATTGTATGCTACATACCCTGAGTTGGTGACTGCCATTACAGTTGATACCAAGGTGAAGGGATAGGTAAGATGGGTGACACCGAGCTGAAACACAAACAATACATAATTTAAATTAAAAAGGGATTATTAACATGCAAATTGTCATCACCTGCCATTTGTTACAGATGAATGCCAAACACCAACCACAAACCACTGAACACCTTCCACAAAATGTCAGAGACTTCAAAAATACATAATAATGACCAGAAAGAATAAATGTCACTTTGTTAATGCTATTTGAAGTCTGTACATGTATGTCCACTAGTGTTGTCGCGATTAATCGATACATTGTGATATACATCGCCAAAGCTGATTCTGACGATGCATCGATGTCTGAAACAAAACATCGATGTTTTTAAAAAAATTTAATTTGCTAAAAATCATCCTTTCTTATCTTATTTTGACGCAAATCGCTTACCTCTCTCATGTCTTATTTCATTTTCCGATGTTTTCTGATATTCTTTCGCTTTAAAACTGTTTTAGCTAGTCGAAATGAACCATTAATCCAAAACAATTTACTTTACTTTCATTTCAGCGTTACTAGAAGTTCCCAGATGTACCAGAGTACACTTATTAAATTGTTCTGTTCGGTATTTTAGTGCATTAGCGTTCGGTATTTCAGTGCATTTTTCTCAGACTTTTTCTCGATTTACATCGCAATGTGTATCGATGTTTACTACTGAAAATTGCCGATGCATCGATGTACGATTATGGCACATAAATACACTACTATGTCATAACTCTGAGACACCAACCCCTACTCCCTACATATTTGAATTTTGATGTTTTATACAGTACATTTCATTTCTTGGAATACATGTACTTGCTTACCCCATTAGTAGCTTGTTCATGACTCAAACCCTACAGGCCCCTAGCCAGGGGGGGATTCGCAGGATTCAGGCAACCCCCCCTGGCCAAAAATTCTTTCAAAATCATGAAGTTTTCCATCATTTTGAGCACTTATCAAATGATTTAAGTCATATCTGGGCCAAAATTGTCAAATGTGAACCCCCCCTGGAAATTTTTGAAAACTGAACCCCCCTTGGCAAATCCTGGCTACAGGCCTGCCCTACTTCATACCACAAAAACGAATTTGACTTAGATTATTTTTGATGTCTTAATACATTTCATTTCAACTTTCAGATTCAACTTTTAGACTATTTTTGATATTATATTATGATACATTTCATTTTATTTATGTATTTCTTACTTACCCCACAGGCAGCTTGTGTGTATGACTGAATCTCTTTGTTGTCCTTAAAGGCATAGGTATTGATGAGATGTGTGAGAACATTTGCTAGCCATATGCTAATTATCTCACCAAGTAACCTAGGCACCAACCCTCTGAAATATCAGTTAAATGTTATTTTTCTCTTAAGTTTTATTTCTTTCTAAAATCTGAATATACTTGGACCAAATAACTACCCCACTGTAAGAATTTGTTTGTTCCCTTACATTTAATATCTGATTTTCTTAAATGACAAAGAGCTGTTAAAAATATAACCATCCATGAATCAATACAAGTCTATATTCAAGTGATTTTGGCCATTTTTGGGCCAAAATAAATAGTGAATGCCCCTTGGCAATTCCTGGCTATGGGCCTGTTAAGTTTAAAAGTTGATTCTTAATGAGTGTTTAAAACTCTAGAGTAGGGGTGAGACGACAACCCGATGAGTCGAGGACTCGCGGGTTTGGGGCTTCGAGTCGAGTCGAATCGATTCGAAGTTGATGAATCGAATCATTTTCGAGTTGAGAAAAAAATTCGAAAAAATAAAAAAATTCAGAAAAATACTGTCAATATGCATGTTTTTACTCGATAATGTGTTGAATATATAAGTTTCAATGACTTGGATATGCTTGTATTAAATTATTATATTGTATGTACACATAAATGAAAGAATATATGTAATAAAATCAGAATAAACTTACGATGAATTGTGTTTGTTTATATTTCCGGCTTTCCACCATTGACGCATTAAAAATACGAACGGTCAAAAGCGATGTTGTTCGCACTTTATCTGACTCGAAACGGATTCGAAACTCGAATCGTCATTTTCTGACTCGAATCGGATTCGACTCGAATCGGATTTTTTCGACTCGTTTCACCCCTACTCTAGAGTAAAGAGATATCAGCCTGTTTACCAAAATATATTAAGGATGCATAGCAGTAATGACATCTATCATAACTCACAAAGTTATTCTCACTTTATGACATCCATTATAGGATTCAGAGTACATGGCTAAGTATGTGGCTTACTTGAAAAATCCTAAAATGCCATCACTGTCATACACCTCTCGGAAGGATGAAAATATATTGCTGAAAATACAAAAATTGGAAAATTAGCAATGTTAACAATTCGTACATGTCTTAGTAATATATTTCATAAATCAGTCTTAGTATTAACCCATATATTCATCAATGTTCCATTTAATGTTCTATTCCCTTTTGGTCTTTGTCTTTTTGGAACTTGTACTAACGTATTTATAGATGGCAGAGCTTTTCTAACAAGTTCAAATGATGTGGAGTTTTTATCTGATAATGTAAGTGGCACAGCAGGCCCGTAGCCCCCTCCCCCTGGCCCTCATATTCTTGCTGACTATGCAGTTTTCACCTTTTTTATCACTTTTAAAGTGATTTTGGGCCAACATTTTCAGGTTTGAACACCCTCCCTGGAATGTTTTAATAATCTGAACCTCTTGACAAAAGGCCTGCATATAAACAGTACATTTTAATCTTGATAATTGTATAGTAAGTCCACAACCTTCATTTATCAACTGAATGTAGGACTTGTAGGTTTATATGCCTATTGATCAATAATTTATTATGAATTAGCTGGATAAATTAGTCTTCTATCTCTGAAGCAGGTGTTTCTAGGTTTATCAGAACAATATATACGCTAATCTAAATAAGTCTAAGGTGCCACCATTTGTTATTTATTAGGGCCTAAATATTTGAAGAAACAATACTTGAGTTGCATAGCAAAACCCTCTGTTTTTTAATTCTCTTTAACTGAAATACTGATTTTTATGAACTCAGTTAGATCAAATTAATCTATACCATGTGGACCTTTTCTCTAAACTTTGAGGACAATGAAGAGCTAATGGTCCTCCCCTAAGTGGGATATACAGGTATATAAAACATTTACAAAACAATACATTTAACAGGAAGAAAATCAGCAATACAGAAAGAACATTAGATTATTTTAATTAGATAAAGTTGAAGAATAATACAAATGCACCTGACAAGATAAACATAATCTTAATACGGATCAAATATATATGAAAAGTTTGTAAGGAGGAAGAATGTTTTGTTTTGGAAATATGCCAAGAAAAAGTGGTTTCCTAATTTTCATTTTCTTGATTTTGATGATCAAAGTGTTATTCTATTCAGAAAAAGTTAAAATAAAAACAATGAGGATTTCAACAAAAACAAAATCAGACATATCAAATATTACAGGAAACATGATGACAACAGCAAAAAAGGATTACACAAAGAACTTTCTTTATATTGTGAATTCTGATCAATGCATAAGAGACTATCTTGTACAAATAGACATGTTGGGAGACCCAGATAATTTGGATGTGTTGGTATTGAGTTATAAAACTCCCTGCGAAGACTTGAAGTTAAACCATATTAAATACGTATTTGGCCCAAATACAACTTGGGGATCAGGAAGAAACGTTGCTTGGACATATGCGCAGAAACATCTTGGGAAATACTTGTATTATGTTTTCCTTGATGAGGATATCATATTGAAACCAACACTACCAAGAATTCTGAGTAAAGATGCGCTGAATAAACAGAACCTGAATATTTCCATCCTGAGACAGTTTGAAAATTTTCTGCTAGAAACACAACCTGCTGTTGGTGCGCCTCTGCGATCAGTGTTTGACCCTTTGGGTATTTACGACTTCAATGAGTGCTGCCCGGGAGAAGACAATCATGACAAACAATGGAATCTCACAGAACGAATCCCAATGATAAGATTTGATGAGTGTTTTGCAGCATTCCATAATAAAGCTATTGGACATATAATGCCGCTAGATGTACAATATGACGCAATAAGTTGGTGGGGAGCAGGACGTTACCTCCACATGAAATCGTACTATTATTTTCACCGTCAGCTTGCACGATATACCCCCATGACTGTACATAACCCTCAGCATAAAGATTATCCCCAAGGAACTATCCCATATGTGGATATAATTAAAAACATCAGATCGAAAGTTCCAATGTCTTATCGAAATGCAACCATATTTATGCAGGACCTTAAGATTATGGCTGGTGATGGTTGGCGATGGCATATTCATATTCATCCATTGAAACCAACCTTTGAATTAGCTCCTAAAAATGATGAAATAGTTCCATTCAAATATATTGATACCATTAGACATTTTTAATGATCAATTCATTGTCTATATAACCATAGTGTTATTGGTTATAGAGCAATTTCAAGGCTAATAATATATGTGGATGGAGCAGGTGCTTTTTCAGTATGCATCAGAATTTCAATCAAAGAAAGTCGGTCATGCAGCAAACACCACATTAACTTGGATTGTAATCGTATGTTGTGCATTGGAAAATTATTATCATATTGAAATGAAAGTGAAGTGAAATCTCGAGTTTTATCTACAGGGTGGTCCAAAAAAGTGAACCCCTGCAACGGGCCATATTTCCCTTATTACTTGAAGGAATTTTTTTTTATTTTCACATGTTGTAGAGGAAGGTCTAAAAGGAAGTAGTGCGCTCTCCATTATGGTCTCCCCATGAAAAAAATTAATTCATCAGATTTTTCAACTACACACTGTATCTTGTTGACCTATATTCAGCACTGTATTGATGTATAGGCCACTTATTAGGGTCAAAATTCAATCGTGAAGTGTAGAGGCAATAGATTCCAAACCAAGAAGTATTTTTATGCTTATCAAAATCCATTTGCATCCTACGCATCCCTACATCTTATCCAAATATGTTACTGAACAATGAAATATAATAGTATAATCTTTGGTTTTACAGACTTGTATGATATTTGGTAAGTGTAAAATGTGTTTTTGGAGCATTTTTCTACAGCCATTTTGAAGGGAAAAAATGTACAATCTTTGAATTTAAAGTATGACCTGAATCGATTGCAAACTTCATATTTGCACATTTGATGAGATAAACCATTTGTGTCATATTGTGAAATTATTAAGTTTTCAATTGTTTCAGGTAATAGTGTATTTTTGGTATTTTTGTGATCATGAATGGAAACCAATGGCCTCTATTGGGATCTGCTGATATTCTCATGTTAAGTCAATGATGCACAGCCCCATGTAAGTCAATACGACCTTACTGAACTAAATGGCCCCTATCTCACCTTATGTGTGCCCGAGCACTTTAATATTTTCCAAAGAGTTATATGACATTCTATTCATGTTACACCTAAGAATTATTCATTTTGACCATAGGGGTATATGTCAATAAACGCAGCTCTTCCTTTGTGTTGGTACCAGACATTTTTCATAGTCTTGAAATTTGCAGAAATTATTAAGACCTAACCAAATATTACTGAAAATGGATAAAATGTGATTTTCAATATCTGCGATACGTCAACTTTTCAACACCCTTCCCCTGACATTTTTTAAGCTGCAGTCTTAAAGAAATAATATTTTCTGTCTTTGTTCAATTTTGAATCCCGCACATTATGGCTTAAAACTAGCATCCTACCTTTGTTAGTTGCAAAGTTATTGTGATCCAAAGAAATGTTCTAAGCTTCCATAGACGAAAACATTTTCCAGTGAAATCGCGAATATACCCCTACATGATGTTGAAATATCAATATCTTCATAAATCATGCACCAATTCTAATGAAATATGACTCAAAACATTGAATATTGGATTTTCTTTTGTTTTTTAAAGATATTTGATGAAGGGCTTCTCAGATTCCTGGTCACACGTGGCAACTTCCTTCCACAAAAGCCCCCCCCCCCCTCTAACTGTTGGTGTAGGGAACATACCCCTGAACTGTTGAACAGTTTAAACTGTTTCAAAATGATCAAGTGTGAAATGTGTTTTCTGCTCAAATAGTGTCCTTTTTGTCATACGGCAGGGTTTTAAACTTGTATCTCTAACTGAAAGCTGTTGAAGATCATCCAATGTGTTTCAACAATTTCTGTGAATCACAATGGTAAAAATTTTGCACAATATATTAATTTTCCGGCATGTTTCTTAAACCCTTGTAATTTCTTCAAAATTTAAGAGTGAGAATAAATTATGGCATTAACCAAAATTTAAGACCTTTCTCTACAACATGTGATAATATGAGTCTATTCATGCAAGTATTAAGTAAAATATAGCCTGTTGCAGGGGTTCACTTTTTTGGACCACCCTGTATATGTATATCAAAATATGGTTTCCAAGACATCTTTGATATATATAATTAAAATGTTCTATAATCCATTCATTAGGAGCTAACATTTAAAAAAGAATTATACTTTTGCAATTAACAAAAAGAATACATGTACATTAATTTGGAAAATATGATGCAGAATGTGCAAACCATCCCTAGATATTATTTGTAAATAAAGGATAGGTATCGATATGGTGAACTGAATTCAACAATGTTTTTCTCTCAAACCAATTATTGAAAACATTCTGTGTATAAAAAACACGGTTCTTTATGTAATGTTGACTGATTGGCAACCTTTCTACCAATTCTTGAGAATGAAATAAAATGTCTTTCTGAACCTTGTTAGAACAATATAGCATATACAACATTTTCTTAGACCTCTCAATATTATAGTTCTACAAAGGAAATTTTGGTTAATTTAACAAAAAGTATGCAAAAACTTAAAACAAAATCCCCCAAAAATAGATAAAAATTAAGATAAACCTTTTATTTCATTAACAAGATACTTTTTTAAAATCAACCAAACTTTCCTTTGTACAATAACAATATTGAGAGATCTAAACACATTGTGTTTATTTGTCATTTTGTTCCAATGAGGTTTGGATAGATGCCTCATTTCATTCCAAACATATGATACCAAGAACGAGAAGAAGAAGTGTCTGATGTGTTTTCTAAAACAATATACAGAACCATCCAAATGATGACCATTAATTTGACGATGTGTAAAATTTTCAGAATGTTTTGATGACTGGTTTAAGAGAAACGTGTGTTCTAAAAGTTCACCTTATCGATACCACTCCTTTGTGCATTTATTTTTTTATATATTATACTGGAGGAGACTATTTACTGTATACTGTAAATAACATTAACGATTTTTTTCAATTCAATTTTGAATTGATTTACAAGAGAATGTTTGTCTTTGAATCATCAAGTTTAACCTTAAATGGCGTATATCTGTAATTCTGATAAAAATAATAATTCATACTGCTATGTAGTTTGCAAATCAAAAACCTTACAGGGCATTAATAATTCATGATATCAAACAATTTGTATAATTATTACCTGTATGTATTCTCTCTGCCAACAAACTGTGACATTGTCCTCACCATAATAACTGAAAGTAGTTTGAAAAGCAGAATTGTACATATTTTAAACTAGAACAACTAGGGAAAGAACAAAGTTTCACACATCACATTTTGATAACATTGGGCAAGGCTACAATGGTTCAAACTTTATAAAGGGACTTTAATAAAATGCATCATATTTTGTTAAATTCTGAAACAATTACTGAAAATCCAAAGCTATCATAATTATTGAATATTATGTTTTTGAGAAGACTTGACCAAGAAAAATCTGGTGCTAACTTGCGAAAAAAAAAGTCAACTTCATCAGGATAATAAATAGAATATATTGGATGGTTTTTATTCTTGATTCTTAAACCATTGGGGATTCGAGAGTTATGATTAGATCAGAAATCTCACCATGGAAGGGCTGGCTGGCTATCACTCCTGCACACCTACACACCATTTCCTGGGAAGTCTGCAAAAATATGTATAATGTGTAAAAATGACATGAATTCTTGACAACAAATATACACAATACAGTATAATCACATTCCAAATTAAATGGAAATTAAAGAATATTCCATAGTTCATTCTGAAAATAAGAAATTGAGTGAAATCAGCAAAATAAAATAGAAATAATCTACATGGGGACCTTCCTGTAGTTAAAATCAACAGAATTGTCACAAACAAACAAGCCATTCTACACTGATATGAACAAGACATTAACATGCCAAACACCAACTGCGGTCACAATGGAGACCATAACAATATGCCACTACTATTGGTGGCGACATAAAAAGCCTGCAATTATTTCATTATTCAATGATGAGATTTTAAGGATCTGATTGGACCATGAGACGATACATTCTGTATATTTACGCTGTTTTACACAGAATAAATATTCCACTTGGATATCACCGCATCACACATTTAAAGTGCCACCTTAAGTATAAAATTACTTTGGCAGTTAGGATTTTGCTCATTACGTCGATTTTAAATTCAAATGTTCAGAGAAATGTGTTGCTCCTCCAAACATTAACTGTTTTATATTGTTATATTAATATTTGTCACAAGTGTTATTTATGAACATAAATAGATATATGTTCAGATATATGTAACTTCATTTTACAAAAATATATCTTAGTTATCTAATAATTAGGATTTAAATTTCAAAATTTAAAACCAAGATATCAACCAATCAGAAACAGCCAACTGTTCACATGATGTAAATAAATATAATCTGGATGTAAACAGAACTAATAACATTAATATGTTATATGTAAAAACTCACCACTTTCTGGAACTAAAATATCCATGTTTATTTGGAATTTAATTCTCTGAACTATTATATGAATCCTTTTTATGAGTTATGCCCAATATATGCACTAATTAGGACACTGATCCATCAAAATTGTGAGATTCCAAAACTTATTTTTATTTTGTCTTCAAACGCAAAGTTTATAGGTTTGGACCTGGTGCATCAAATGATGTAGATCTACTAGAAATACAGACTTAATCGGGGTATTTTTCATCATCACATCATTTTTATGATTACAAATACAAAAATAAAAATCATGGGGTGGGGCATGGGCTTTCAACTAGATTGACAGCCCATGGGTGGGGCTATGATTTATTGGAGATTTCCTTCATTGAAGTTGGACAAGAAAGTATCTATTAGGCTGAAACAGGGGGTCATTATGGGTCAAATCAGGATGGATCCATATGGATGGATGTGACTTTCATAAGAGCATCTAAAGACTCCATATCAAGCCTACGAAAGTTTTAGTTAGTATAGGTTTTACATAGGTTCCTCTTCATTCAAACATGTTGATTAATCCCACATCTGGAAATGACATTGAACTTGATCAAACCTATTTACTACATTGCCCTTTCCTTATGTCCAGCTACATGGTGAATCATTGATTCAAAAATAGCATATTATTGAAATTAATTTTAGATTTCAAGCAAATGTGACTAATCTGAAGAGCTGTTCTGCTAATGTTGCATTAAAAGTCCACAAAATTGACACATACTTTGCCTCATTATGTTTGTTGTTGAATTTATATGCCATATAAGGACTGCCTCATTAACTGAAGCTCTGCTTATAGGATAATTTCAATATCACCCCAACTCAGGATCCTGGCCTTTAAACGTAATACTATAAGTTAAAATTTTCTGTTGAAAACTCTCTCACAACATCATGTCTTTGAATCAAAATGTTACAATGCCTGATATAGATTTTCTCTAGAACAATATTTACAGTATTTTACTTGGATCATAACTTAGAATATATTTATTCCACATTAAATAGAACATGACTTATATTATATTCAAAGTATGGCTATGTGTGAACAGAGGTCATTTTGAAATAAATAAGTAAAACTACCTCAACGCAGAATTTCTTAACAGTCTTAAGAGGGTCTTCATCCTCTTCTATTTCCTCAGCTATATCATCAGCTTCCACTTTGGCAAAAAATTTCTGAAATATAAATAAATATGAGGCTTGTTTGTATCAGTCAAGCTTTTAAGAACATCCCCAAATACCCCACCCCCACCCCTTCCATATGCCTCACCTATCGGGGACAGGTATATAATTCTGACTTAATGCAAGAATTAAGATGGGGATAAACAAATGTGCACATAATGCACAGTATGCATGAAGTATAAGATATAATTTACCCAAGTAATTCATGGGTGCTTAAAGGGGCAACAAGGACTGTAAAGAAAATATTCAAAAAATTTTACTTTTCTGAGCTATCAGTGCAACATTTGGCTTAAAATCTTCTTTGACCTACCTATTTTCTTAAAATGTATGGATAAACTATAAATTTCAGCATTAAGAAGAGAAAATTCAGTTCCTTGTTTGGTTTCTTTTTAGATAACAAAAATATATGTTAGTCTTGAATGAAATATCCAAACTTAAATATATTTTGACACTGGTCCATGAACGTTTAATGGCCCCTCTGCACTTATTGTTGCACCTTTAAGTTCCCTGGTTTTATTGATTGGCAAAGTAGATAGATGGGGGTACCTGTTGTATAGTGACAGATACAAAGTTCCCGACTACGGAACCAGCAATCTTGGCTGTGAGACCACGGTACAAACCAAAGAAGCCATCTTGGCGACGAATCTCGTTCACTGAAATAAAATAGTGATTGAAATTATACACTTAATGACACCATTTAGTGGGCTCATGTGGTGATTCCCTACACTCATTGAGAATGATTTATTTCAATAACAAAAAAGCTGATTTCTAAAAAAACAAGCCAAAGTCAAAGGAATGAGTTACCAGAATGGACCTAGGCATAAGTTCTGACGAATGACAAAACTTGTTAACAGACAGACAGAAGATGGAAGGACAGACAGGCAGGCAGACAGTGGATGATTCCATATTCCATTATTACTCTTGGCAATTTACTTTGTAAAATGAGTTGCCTATTGGGCAAGACTGAATGCCAATATGTTTAATTGTGGCAATAATGTTTTCAACCTATAGTCACATATTGTACCTGTCAATACAATACAATGTAAAAATAATACAAATACAATATACATTTATACATGTATAATAGTACAATTATCTGACAGTTGGGATCAGAGATTGTGACATGTAGTACAAAATACATACCATATTTGAAGGCATTGGGGTACATAAGCACTTCCTTTCCTAGCAGCGTTTTGGTGAGAGTTGGGCGTAGAGGTTCATGTCCAACCTACAAATTATAATAAGTATTTTCAAAAGGTTCTGAGATAAAAATGGAATACTTATCACATTATACCAATATTTCATTCAATCCACTTAAGTAGTCTTGTTGGCAAAAAACTGTTACTGTTACTTCATAAATGGATAAAATCTTACATTAATTTTTGGACGTCTCTTTGGCTGTTTTAGTCAGACATCAAAACAGGGGCTTATTTAAGATCTAACTCAGTCCTCAGTATACTGTATGACTTACTACTGTCTAAAAACCTTAGTGTCCGACGATCAAAAAATCCATTTATTCTCTCATCTGGCTTTATTCTTAAGTTTTCCCTCCATATATAATAATTTAAGTTTGGCTGATGCCTTATCTAGCACCACCTACCTTTTGTCAGTTCATCACAGGAATTTAAATAGAAATCCCAAAGGGCAAGAGAAAATTTTCTGAAGAAAATGACTGAGTTTCTTACAGCATTTGGATCCAACTTCACTATTATCACTAGTATCACTATTACTGACTATGGAATGGACGCACATTTGTCTTCAAAAAATAAGGCAAGTACATATGTAGTTCAACGTCGTTAAACTCAATAACGGCATTCTTTATTATTAGGAATTTTCTTGGGGCCATTATTGAGTTTAACCTCCATGCTATTCTTTCCTTTGATGCAAGTTGTGGATCTATCGAAACCACTTTTCCTCGCTAATATGACACTGATACTTAACAATAATATAAAACCACATTTCATCAGGCGATTTCACATAATATTATTGTGTTAAATGATCATTTTTAATCGTAAAATGAGTCTTATTCTTACCAATTTATGAGACGAATATTTCAACCGGCAATGTCTGTCTGTGCGTCGCCAAAGTAAACTTGGTCAGCGAAACGAAATTGTTCTTCAATATTGATATTTATTATAACCATCCAGTATGACACGAATCTTTGCTTTATTCAAACAGCGCGTGTATTCACCCAAGTTTACTCTATTGTTATTTATAAAAACTTTAAAAAGCAACATTATTGATGCATTTGATTACTGGTAATTTCAGCTCAAAGAAATATAGATGTCATTGATTGTGCTAGATTGTGATTGTGTTGAATAATTGTGCCTAAATATTAAATTATGGTAATTGTTCATGGTTTTCTGCTTGCAAAAACGTACCTAGGAATACACTCAATTGTTTATAACTGGGATCATGTATTTTACTCAGCATACATGCTTTGTAACAATTGTTACATTTTAATAACTTCAATGTGGTGATGTATTGTGATAAGATTACATGTACAGTGATCTCCCCATGTCACTTTTACCGGGGGCTCCCCCTACTTGAAACCAAAGGCCCCCCAGTTGGCACCCAGTTGGCATCTGCACTTCAACTTCTGATTTAAAGAATGAGTGAAGTAAGCACCTACACTGAGATATTGTGAGCGTAGCGAGTGCTGATTTTTTTAGACTTGAAATCTTGCACCCAGTTGAAAATTTTTTTTGGGGAGAACACTGATGTATAAGCATGGTTGTTTTATTCCTAGCTCTTAAATGTATGATGTTCTTAATAAAATTAAACAGAAGTTTTGTTTATGCTATTTTATAAAACATATTTTTCTACAATGATATTTCATTTACTCAATGAGAGAAAGGTTAAACACATGTGTTTTATCACGATATTGGAGCAAGTAAATGTACTTTTAACCTATACTTCACACCTGATTTATCTCGATACCTCCAAATCTGATTTTTTTCAAATCAATACTTTTCAGCTTTTTCGATCTCATTACTCTAATGTTAAAAAAACTTACTTGATCGTCATTAAACATTCAGTCAAAATGATGTCATACTATCTAGTATTTGAAATGTACATGTAAAAGTACATCAAGAAATATTGCTTCAAATATTGTTGATCAATTTTGAAAAATTTTTGTTTTGGAAAATGTAAATGCTACTACGGGGAGATTCAACATATAAAGTCACAAAAAGTGAAATATGTTTTCTTGTATTGGACAGATAATATTTTCTTTTACATTATTTTAATTTGCATAACTATGTCATGCTATGTGACCTGGATGAGCCACCTGGTGGTGAAACTGGTAACTACCTACTCGCATCTGAGTTATTACAATGGGAAATCACTGACTTTCTGGGAGAGAAAACTTTGGCACAATATATATTTAAACATGTTAAGAAAAATATCTAATTATTCAGTATCACATGCTTGCGTCTGTCCAAAGATGTTGAAAGCTTTAGCATTTTAGCCAGAAATTTACCATAATTCTGAAAATAAAACAGGAAAAAAAGTAGGAAACTTAATCATGTTTATCGCAAGCCTCCTACAGTATTACAATATTTTGTACTTATATATAGGATAACCGGGGTTCGTTTCGTTTTATGAACTTGTTTCGTTCAGTGTTGCTAACGGCGGTTTATTCCTGAAAGGATTTACCATTTCGATGTTACCGGAACCAGAACAGAGTTTTCTAAAATAAGAAAAAGCCTTCTCCCAACATTTTCATAATTATACATCGATGAGGTTACAGGGGTATGTGATGATTTGTATTTATTCATAAGGTATGTATGCATGCGTTGATCACATTATTTCTGTAACGATACCATCTTATTACGGTTTAATTAGTTCCGCATGTCGAAACCTGCTGAACGATTAAATGTACATCAAGGGCAATATCATCATGGAAGTTAGACCTAGCCGGGGCCATAAGACATGTCAGATAAGAAACGAGGCCCAGGCTAGGTCTAATGTTGTTGGACTAGTACATATGGGTAAGTAGACCAAATGATTCAATTGAGGCATTTAAACTTTTTCTAAAAATTGATTTTTTGACCCTCGGACAGGTTTTTAGAGAGTATTTGCGTCATTTTGACAACTGGAATTTGGGGGAGTAAAGGTGATCAAGATCAAGATGTGGACAATTCTTTTGAAATCTTTTCAAAATATTTCGAAATATGGCATTATAGAACCCACATTTCTGTCTTATATGTCTACGGGCCCTTACATACTACCCAGGGGGACCTGTGATTACAAGTTCCATTTTGAAAAAAATCATTTGCGATTTTGGAAAAAAATCGGATTTTTATTTTCAATGTTTTTAATTTTATTAAATATTGCGAGTAAATCACAATTTGGCAGCTGGCACACAAATGGGCAAGTATATCACTTACCTGAATAAGTATCTTTGCATACACAATAGGGTGAAATGCAGCTGCTACACCGGCAGCAATCAGGCCGGATGAAATATTTTTGTCACTGACAGCCATATTTATTTCGAACGAGAGCGAGAAATTACGAGAGTTAGTTTGGCGCGAAATTTAAAAGTTTGAAAGTTGAAAACTTAAGAACGTGTTTTTAAATTTTATAGAATGTGCGTTCATGAGACTGAAGTCCATATAAATATATCTGTTAAGTTACTCAAAAGAATTCAGAAAGCATATGCCTATTTCATTACCGGTATGCATGCGAAATCAATCAACAGTTTGCAATTACCAGGTTTCATCGTCAACATGGATTACCAATTAATAATGAATTTTTTTGAATTGTACGAACGCTTCTCAAGGGAAGAGATTTTATCATTTTTACATCATGAAATTTGATACAGATATAGCATCACCCTTTTTACAAGCATATATGGAATTTCAGGACCATAAGCAATGCACTTTCTGAGATACATTGACTTTATTTTGAACCAATTGGTCCACATGACGACATTAAATTGAATTGATTTTGTGAATGCCTTGATAGACTGAAACTTTTCGGTCAATCATTATCATCAAATGCAAAATGTATTAATGCATGGGTGAACATGTATATGACTTGTATAATACTCTTTCCTCATTCATTATCATGAATTCTATCATTGTTTTCTGCATCAACTGTATTATTTCGAGCCATACACTCCAATATTTCATGAATTCATGAGAACTTTGATAACGTCATAAAATGTTAATCAGATGATTTTTTCAAGATGTTTTAAGAGTACTTGAACTGTTATTCTTTGGAATGATCAAAGAAAACAAGATGGGAAATATTGATATAAGATTCAATTTTGCCATGAGAACAAAACTAGATATTGTGTTGACAGTTTATGTAAGTAAATTAGCATGGTTAGTAATATTGTTCTTTATATATTACTCGTTTTCTTTTTACAAAATGATATGGACCATAGTCTCATCACCTTGGTTACTATAGCAACCATAAAATGTTAAGTAGTGGAAGTAAATATATATACACGAAACCTTGACAGTGTAAGGGAATAAGATGGGGGCACATACAACTATGAACAAGATTGGTTCATTATTGTCATAATTAGATATTGTAACAAAATTTTGAATTTTTGATTTTTGATTTGGTGCTGTCAACTCGTTTTTATACATTTATTACACTTGATTTGTGGTTTACATGTGAGATCATTAGGATGGTAACGTGTAGCAATGTTTGCAGCACTTAGGTTGTACTTACAGAGGTGAAATAGTTCGCATGTTTTATTTATTTGATCACGATTTTGTTTATGTTGATCGGGCAGTCTTATCTGGCAGTCTGATTTGTAGTTGATCGGTAGTCTAACATGGCAGCTTTATTATTTTACTTCCTGCTTTTGATTCTATCAAACCGAAGTAAAACTAGAGTAAGTAGCGATCAATTACTGTTATATTTCTTGAGTCAATATTAAAATCTTGTTGTATGCGTAATATTAAAGCAGGATATGGCGTCAATAACTTGTTATTCAACTTTGAAATCTTGTTCGAAAAGTGATGACGTCACCAGGCCTATATAAGTATTTCGCCGATGTAAACTCGGCAGATTACAGCTAGCTTTCGTTCGGGACATAGCTCCGTTCAATTTCATATTTTTATGTGAAGTTGGACTTAGTCGTTTTTCAAGGAAATATTTTTGGACTTTGACAACTTTCAGTAGAAAGTTGTTGGGACTTTGAATATTTCTCGAGGCAGATAGGAGATACATAGCTGCACTTCAGTTCAGTGGATGATAACTTGGACATCTACTTGTGATGAAGGATACCTGAGAGGGAAGACTACTACACCGTGATTCTGTAGATGATAACTTGGCCATCTACCCGTGTATTTGTGTAGAGGATACCTCAAGAAGGAATATTCAGTACCGTGTTTGGAGGCAGCATCAAGCCTATATTTCTGAGCTCTGTCAGTTCAATTTCATGAACACATGAAATTGGACTTTGCGTATTTTTGAGATAGAAATTATTGAACTTAGTCAATATTTGGAGAAACATTATTTTGGACTTTGTTTTTTTTTGGAGGATAAATATTGAACTTAGAATATTTCAATATCAGTATAACTCAACATTAACTGAACTTAGTTATTTTCAAGGGCAAATATTTTGACTTGTAATATTTTTGCCTATGTTGTTGTGTGCATGCTATATTTGTAGGTAGCCTGATTATTTAATTGTGAAGGAAGTAGGCTACTTAGCAGTTGATGCCATGTATTAGACGTTTTTGGACTTAGTAGTTGGAAGATTGTGATAGTTTAATTACAACACATAGAGGAGGATCCAGGAGATAGTCGTTTCCAGACTTTATAATTTGACTTAGATTATTTTACATAGTCAAAGTCGAATTATACTACAACACATAGAGGAGGATCCAGGAGATAGTCGTTTCCAGACTTGATAATTTGACTTAGATTATTTTACATAGTCAAAGTTGAATTATAATACAACACAGTGAAGAGGATCCAGGAGATAGCCATTTACAGAGCCGATAGTTTGACTTTGATTATTTCATATAATTAAAGTTGAATTATCCTACAACACAGTGAGGAGGATCCAGGAGATAGCCATTTACAGAGCCGATAGTTTGACTTTGATTATTTCATATAATTAAAGTTGAATTATCCTACAACACAGTGAGGAGGATCCAGGAGATAGCCATTTACAGAGCCGATAGTTTGACTTAGATTATTTCGCATAATCAAAGTTGAATTATCCTACAACACAGTGAGGAGGATCCAGGAGATAGCCATTTACAGCGCCGATAGTTTGACTTAGATTATTTCGCATAATCAAAGTTGAATTATCCTACAACACAGTGAGGAGGATCCAGGAGATAGCCATTTACAGAGCCGATAGTTTGACTTTGATTATTTCATATAATTAAAGTTGAATTATCCTACAACACAGTGAGGAGGATCCAGGAGATAGCCATTTACAGAGCCGATAGTTTGACTTTGATTATTTCATATAATTAAAGTTGAATTATCCTACAACACAGTGAGGAGGATCCAGGAGATAGCCATTTACAGCGCCGATAGTTTGACTTTGATTATTTCATATAATTAAAGTTGAATTATCCTACAACACAGTGAGGAGGATCCAGGAGATAGCCATTTACAGCGCCGATAGTTTGACTTAGATTATTTCGCATAATCAAAGTTGAATTATCCTACAACACAGTGAGGAGGATCCAGGAGATAGCCATTTACAGAGCCGATAGTTTGACTTTGATTATTTCATATAATTAAAGTTGAATTATCCTACAACACAGTGAGGAGGATCCAGGAGATAGCCATTTACAGAGCCGATAGTTTGACTTTGATTATTTCATATAATTAAAGTTGAATTATCCTACAACACAGTGAGGAGGATCCAGGAGATAGCCATTTACAGCGCCGATAGTTTGACTTAGATTATTTCGCATAATCAAAGTTGAATTATCCTACAACACAGTGAGGAGGATCCAGGAGATAGCCATTTACAGAGCCGATAGTTTGACTTTGATTATTTCATATAATTAAAGTTGAATTATCCTACAACACAGTGAGGAGGATTCAGGAGATAGCCATTTACAGCGCCGATAGTTTGACTTAGATTATTTCGCATAATCAAAGTTGAATTATACTACAACACAGTGACAAGGATCCAAGAGATAGCCATTTACAGAGCCGATAGTTTTGACTTAGATTATTTCATATAATCAAAGTTGAATTATACTACAACACAGTGAGGAGGATCCAGGAGATTACTATTCCAGGTTCAAGATACAATAACAATACAAGACGTACAAGTGGTACAATATACATGAACTTTGAATATTCGGGATACAACAGTGTTATATAGTGATCATCAGTTTCAATTTATGTGGACTCTGGATATAATTTTATCAGTGATAATTACTATTAGCTCATATGGACTTTTGAGTTGTGAGTTTTGAGAGAAATAATAACACCGTAATATTCTTACATTACATTTGAAATTGCATGTACATCTTATTTGGGCTTATAAACGCCACAATATATTGTTTTATATTATATATATAAAATTGTATATTTTGTTTATTTCTTTAGGGACAAAGCACATTTAACGTGTGCCGTGCAATCCACAAGTAAACACCGTTTACTAAACAGTGGTCTTTTTATTAGCCACACTACCACATATCCACAAAAAAGGCCAAACTGTTACACTGGTGGCAGTGGTGGGATTGATTGTGTCTGAAGATTTAAACCAGAGGTGCATCATACAGTTTCAAGATGGATCCAGAGCCCAGTCTCCCATATCCGAAGCGTGGAGATTATGTAGATATTGAAGGGGAGACTTCTGTATATGTGAAGACATATTCTGGGGAATTAAGGAATCCTGGAGCTAAGGATCCAATGAGAGAAGCTGAGGAGAGAGGATTGCCTAGTAGTTTAGGTACAGGGTATTGGTCTAGAGGAGGACTGACCAATTTAGAGACGCAAGCGAATCGCTTCAATAAGGATAAGATGAATCCTACTGTGAGAAGACAGAGTCCAATGACTTCTACCATGATTGATCAGCCTTTGAATAAAGGACAATCAGAGGATATAATGAAACAAGAGTTAACTATGGTGGAAGGTCAGCTTCGAGATCAGTTGTCTGTTTTTGGGAATATTAAAGAGGCACAACAGAAACAGTTGGAAGATATTAGAGAGACCCAACAAAGACAAACTCATAGTTTGACTTCAATAGCAGAGCAAATGACAGGGAGTAGAAGTACACAACAAATTAGAGATGATATGGATCGGTTGCAGGCGATCCTCGAAAGATTAGAGAGTAATACGGAAGCAGCTAGTAAAGAGACCAAATCCAATGGTGTTTTGTATGCAGGGAAGGCTATTGATAATGACTTGTATGTAACTCCAAGTGGAGCTCGAAGGGGAGCACAATGGTCGCCTCCATTATCTATGAGTCGGGTTCAGCATAAAGAAGAGTGTTTTACACCTGAACTCCCTACTCCAGAAAGGAGGCCATGGAAGTTGGAGAGACAAGACAGA